CTGCTCCTGATCTAGCTGTCTGCTTAGTTTGCTTTTGTTTTAGGTGTGGTTCTTAATAACTGTGAGTTTGCTGTCCTTTCACTGTTCATCTTTTTTATCTCCTTTTTCTTAGGTAAGTCCCTTTAACATTTCATATAATAAGGGCTTGGTGATGATGAACTCCTTGAATTTGATCTTATCTGAGAAGCACTTTATCTGTCCTTCCATTCTAAAGGAAAGCTTTGCTGAATAGATCAATCTTGGTTGTAGGTCTTTGGATTTCATGACTTGGAATACTTCTTTCCAGCCCCTTCTTGCCTGTAAGGTCTCTTTTGAGAAATCAGCTGACAGTCTTATGGGAACTCCTTTGTAGGTGACTGTCTCCTTATTTCTTGCTGCTTCTAGAATTCTCTCCTTCATTTTAATCTTGGCTAATGTAATGATGATGTGCCTTGGTGTGTTCCTTCTTGGGTCCAACTTCTTTGGGACTCTCTGAGCTTCCTGGATTTCCTGGAAATATATTACCTTTGCCAGATTGGGGAAATTCTCCTTTATTATTTGTTCAAATAAGCTTTCCACTGGTCGCTGTTCCTCTTCCCCTTCTGGTACCCCTATAATTCAGATGTTGGAGCATTTAAAGATGTTCTGGAGGCTCCTAAGTCTCTCATTTTTTTTAATTGTTGTTTCTTCATATTTTTCTGTTTGGTCATTTTTTTCTTCCTTCCAGTCCACTTCATTGATTTGAGTCCCAATTTCCTTTCCGTTACTATTGGTTTCTTGTGCATTTCCCTTCATTTCAATTAGTTTAGCCTTCATATGTTCCTCTAATTTGTGACTAAAATCAACCAGTTCTGTGAGCATCCTGATCACCAGTGTTTTGAACTGTGCCTCTGAAAGTTTTGCTATTTCTTCATCGCTTAGAGTTATGGGCTCTGGGACTTTGAGTTCTTCTTGAGCCATGTTTGGTCTGTTCGCACCTGTTACATAGGAGGAGCAGAGCCTTAGGTGTTCACCAGGTCACTGGGTTGTGATGCTCTATGTAGGGGCGGGGTCAGAGTGGGGCAATAGCGGTCCCCTCTGCTGCTTTCCACCGCTGGGGCCTGTGAGGTCTGTCTCACTGCTCGCTCCTTCATTGGTTTATCTGCAGGTGAATGTGTGACCCCGGTCAGCCTGGCGCTGTGCACCCTCACTGGGTCTGCCCGTCACAACCCCACACCTGGGGACTCGCCAACTGCTGACTGTGCAGCCGACTGTGCGCCTGGGTCGGTCTTGACAGAGTTTTCCTGTGCAACCCTACTCCGCCAGCTGCTGGCTCCGTCCCTTTTAACGGTCTGGCTGAAGGGCTCGTTGTTGTCGGACTTTGGTATAGTTCAATTTTCTGTGTTTTGGTTGAGTCTTTTTTTACTAAAACTTTGTTGTCTTTAAACTTGGTTGTGCAAGAAGGTACAGTGTTTCCACCTATGCCTCCATCTTGGCAAAAGTCCCCCTATTTTATGGAATTAAAAGCAATAAGCATTTCTTTTTTTGTGGATAGAATGGGGTATACATATCTCCTGAAATTGTCTAAAGTACCACAAGAGTGAATGGTGTCTGTCTGTGTAGTGCCTTGTGCATGGACTATAATACTAATGAAGTATTCCTTATCTTCCAAACACATACCATGTAATGAAAACAGCACTGTACTTAGTCTACTTTCCTGGAATGTGAATAATTATTAACCATCCATTTGAGCAAAACAAGGTCACTAGACATGAACGATGAGGATGATGTCTCCTATAGTTGTGCCTTCATGCAATTTCCCAGTAATTCAGACATATTTTTTTCCATGTCAATTGTATATTCTAGATGTGAAGGCTAACCAAGAAAAAAGGAAACCAGTCACTGGTGAGGTGATTAAAGAACTAGCAGGAGTTTAAAAAAAAGAAGAGATGGAGGTGTTCTTCAGTTATCCTGCACTAATAGAAGAGGTGCACAATCTTGTCGCCATTCACGTCCCCATTCTGCACTGCCATGACAGTGTGCAAGGATGAGTTATAATCACAGCTCTATTTCTACTGTATAAGGCAGGTATGAGGTGAAGGATGGGGTAAGGATTTGGATTTAAACATCTATAAGTTCCCTTTCAGACTGAATTCCCTGTTCAATCAACCACTAGCTACATTTACGTGGGCTTTTATTGTCTAAGACTGAAGATAATAAGCAACTATGGTGTTTCAGGTACCTTTTCACACTATTTTTTAGTCATCGAATAACCTTGTTAACTTGGATTAACCTGACAGGTAAAGAAACTTGGGTTGAGAGAGTTTCAGTAATTTGTACAAGTTAAGTGAGAGCTTGATCTATTTGTCTAAGAGGCTTCATGTTATGTAAAACTTTGATGCCTTTTAGTAATCAAAACAGCATGATGTTGGCATAAAAACAGGCACACAGATCAAGAGAACAGAATAGAGAACCCAGGGATAAACCCATGCATATAGGGTCGATTAATTTACAATGGAGCTGAAAATACACAGCAGGGAAATGACGGTCTTTTCAATAAAGGGTGTAGGGAAAACTAGACAGTCACATACAAAAGAATGAAACTTGACCACTATCTTATGCTACACACAAAAATGAAATCAAAATAGATTAAAGACTTTAGTTTAAGACCTGAAACCATAACTCCAAGAAGAAAATATAGGTGGTAAGCTTCTTGACATAGGTCCTGGTAATGATTTTTAGAGCCTAACACCAAAAACAAAGGCAAGAAAAACAAAAATAAACAAGTAGGACTACGTTAAAATAAAAAGATTCTGCACAGCAAAGGAAACCATCAGCAAAATGAAAAGGCAACCTACTAAATGAGAGAAAGTATTTGCAAATCATATATCTAATTAGGGGTTAATATCCAAAATATATTTTAAAACTTTGTAAAGTCAATAGTAAAAATTAAAAAAAATGGATTTTTAAATGGGCAAATACAAATAGACATTTTTTCAAAAGAAAACATAAATGGTTGATAGGTACATGAAAAGAAGCTTAGCATTACTAAATCATCAGAGAAATACAAATCAAAACCATACTGAGACATGACCTCACAAGTGTTAGAAAGCCTATTATCAGCAAGACAACAGAGAACAAATGTTGGCAAGAATGTAGAGAATAGGGAAGTCTGTGCACTCCTGGTGGGAATGTACATTTGTGAAGTCACTATGGAGGTTCCTCAAAAAATTAAAAATAGAACTTCCATATGATTGAGAAATTCCACTTCTGGGTATTTATCCAAAGAAAACAAAAACTAATTAAAAAAGGTATATGCATGTTTATTGCGGCATTATTTACAATAGACAAGACATGGAAAGAACCTAAGAGTGTACTAATGTACAAATGGAAGAAAATGTGACCATATATATATATATATATAATGAAATATTATTCAGCCACAAAAAGAAAATCTTGCCATTTGCCATTTCTAATAACATGGATGGAATGAGAGAGTATTATGCTAAATAAAATAAGTCAGACAGAGAAAAGCAAATACTGTGATTTCACTTATATGTGAAAAAAAACCAACCCCAGACCAAGCTTTTAGATACACAGAACAGGTTGATAGTAGCCAGAGACAGGGGATGGGGTGATGGTAAAAGAACAAGATGAAGGGGTCACAGGAACCTCCAGTTATAAACTGATGTCTCTTCAAGGCAGTTTACAGATCTAAGAAATGTATAGATTTGGTATTTGCTAGTTGTGTAATTTTGTCTCTTCCATTAAATTCCTTGGGGTTGGGAGGGACTATTTATTCTTAAATCCTTGTTACCCAGCACAGTGCCTGACATATGTATTGAATAGATGCTCAATAAATATTAGGTGAATTAAATGAAACACTAATCCATTTTTTCATATTATGCTAATTTACTTCCTGAACTAAACCAGGTAGATTAACAATGGGAGATGTCATTCTCTTTCAAATGTTTAACGCACTTGATTGACAAGATTTATATCACTTCCCCATAGCTCTTTAAGGGTACAATCTGCTGTATAGGTCACAGAGAGCAAAAATATAATTGATGTTTACCTTGTGAAATAAAAAATCCTGTGGTAATTAATAATTTAGAACATCAAATAAACTTTGCAAAGAGTTATATTTTTATCCCTCTCTCCCTAGAAGTACCACCCTCCTCCCCAATGTGAGTTCAGCAAACATCCTGGGAGCTACACAGGTAATAACTAGATCTGTGGTGCTTTAAAGTGATTGAGGATAAGAAAATCCTGCTTCAGTTCAGCAATTATTTGAGAATCTATTAAATGCCAGATAGTAGGGATATAAAGATGACAGGTTCTTACCCTCCAGAGGCCTGGAGTCTAATTGACCTTCTTATGCAAATGTATCTCTTGGCTGGGAGGGAGTTTGAATATATACAAGGATTGACTTTTCTCAGGACAGAAGCAGCTCCCACTCTATTCATAGGCAACAGTTTAGACTTGGGCTTTTTAAAAGAAATCAGATTGCCCCAAAGTGCCACATAGTTCTTAGTTGAGTACAATATCACCTTGAATTCTCTTACCATTACAAGAATATTCATAGAGATAACCTGAAGGTAGTTTTCTAGTAATTGGGGCTCCTGAGCAGTGGGAGCCTGGGTAGTGGGTAACAAGGCCTGTCTACTCCAACTCCCAGCTAGGTATCTCTGTGCCAACTGAACTGTGGGGTTGCAGCTCCACTGTCATCTCTTCTGGACTAAAAATACACCTTGCTGGAGAAGAGTACCATGCTATAGTAGGAGTCAGATGCTCTAGCAGTTGAAAATGTGTCAGAGAAATGCAGGTAATTTAGCAACTCAGGGTAAACCACCAATAGAAAGACACCAATCTCAGACTTCCTGAGATTCAGAGTGCAATTCTTTTTAGCTGCCCATGCATTAACTCATTTAAGGCTCTCATATATGGATGATCTTGATGTAGTCAGGTGAGATCAATTGTAGGCTTCCTGCAATTATGTAAATGCTAGGTAATCAAGAATGACTAGCAATAACCAACTCTCAGTTTATATATAAGATGATATATCACTTTATTTTTAATTGTATGATTTAATCAGAACAATAACTATTAACATACAAAGTACCATTCAGCTCAACTGCAGGTATAGGCAGTGACAAGTATCTAATTCTTAGAAGAATCTCTTACTTCCACAGTCTGTCTAGACACATTAACCTAAGGACATGTTTACAGATAGCAAACATGATTTTCACATTTCTACTTGCTCAAGAATATACACAGGTGTATGAAGACTTGTTGATGGGTTGTTTCCATAAGTTCTTTCTGTTTTTGATGCATTCATTCTCTTGACATTGGCAGAAATATTTCTTTCTGCAGTGCAGATTTATTTTTTGTCATTCACCATTTACAATATTCTGTGAATTAGTATTACCCTTTACACTTCTGAAATAGTAATATTTGAATTATCATATCTCTGCAGTACACTTTCTTGTGTCTTCTCATAAGTTCTGCTATTATCAAGGGGGTTTGGGTTGTAGTCACTCTTTTGCCACAACTCAGTTACTGTGTTTTGGTGTAACACACCCTCTTTACAGCTTGCTGTGTTAACCCTTGGCTTCAAGTACTGGTGATGTAATAAGAGTGGGGTGTACTGGCAATCAGCATGTTCCCTTATCATTGTTTATATCCATTTAAAACCATGCCCTTATTAACCCAAGTCTAACATATGTTTTCTTAAATGTTCACAGTTTAGTATTTTTGTGGCTTAACAAAATTTTCTTATATCATTAAAATAAACATTTTTATAAAAATAGAAAATTTAAATGTTTATATAAACAAAACCAGTTAGAGTATCCTGTGCCACATGCACTATACAGTAGTAAGCACAAAATCTCACAAAACAAGTCATCACAAAAGTCCTACCTAGAGTAACTGTTCATCTAGGTGAAATGGCCAGAACTTTCAATTGCTTTTTTTTCCCCTAAAGTACTTTTTGCTTAATACATAACATGTCCTAATGCAAAAACTGGACTTCCTCAAGTTTTTATTGTCTCTACATGTTTGTGGGTTAGGAAGCTGCCACTTGAGAAAAAGGCTAACATTTCCAGTTTATTGATCATGTTTTTGCCCTACATGTGAGCCCACTGGAGCCAATGAACCTTTTAGTCAGACGTATTTTGCTTTTTAAAACATGCTAAATTACCTTTAAAAACACTAATTATCACAAAGTACTTGTTTTATTTTCAGTCAGCATTTAAAAAAATACAGACAAAACATCTAAATGTCCACATTCATTAGATCAGAACAGTGTCATTTTTGAACAGTTGATTTTTAAATGAGAAATATTTTCTTGTGACTAAACTATTTTATGAAAACCTTAATGTCATCTATGTACAATACATAAATATCCCTATTAAATTATAAACACATTTTGTGTCCTGCTGATTTGAAACATTAACTGCATTGCCTACGAATGTTTCTCCAATAAAAGGAATGTGTATGCAAAAATTTAGAAGGGAATGTTTGCCTAGTAGGCAAATAACAACATCAGCAATGAAATATGTTCATGACCATATAACACATGAAAGCTCTTTAAATGAGTGGCCTGGTCCCAGGGCTGCCTGGATATTACCACTTCTGAATTTTCCATGATCTAGAAGGCCTCAAAACTCATGGCCTCAGTTCCCCATACGAAATCAGGTAGGATCCTGGTTTTTAAAATTTCAATCCAGAATTCAGGTTTTGACCTGAATACAACAGGAGCAACATCAGAGCTGCAGGGTTGCCACTGGTCACTGACTTTGGAACCAAGCTTCTGGCCCTGATGCTTTGTCAGATGAGAAATTCCTTAGAATCCAGTCATTTTAAATAACAATATAAGGTCCTATAATAGTGAAATTTTGGCAAAATAAAAATATATTTGGTGGCCTTTCAAAAGCCAGGCAGTGAAAAAATATTGGACCTGGTGTGGACTGTTGTTTGGATAGTTCTATGATGTTTATCAGAGGGGGACCGATGTTGTGTCCAACCATCATGTGTCTCCCTCACCATCAACTTTACCTTGTGATGACAACAGAGAAGGGTATGGAGAGACACATTTGACATTCACATAAGTAGCATTCACATGGACATAGTGCTCCCCAATGAAAGTAGAGAATATTGTTGATATCCTGGAAACCAGTTCAGAAAAGGATGGGCGAAGTTCAGCTCTTGGGTGCCAGCATTTTAGCATCACTTCATATCTGTTTCAGAAAGAAATACTGTGAGAGACACTTTGAAGAAAAGTGTTTCTGTAAAAGTAAAAAATGTAAGAGCTACAGAAGATTCTTTCAGAATTCCTACTTACAAGGGATCTGGGCAGTATTCAGGTTGTAAGAGCCTTCTGCCTTGCAACAAGTAAACTGTTATATCAAAGGTGTTGATGTCAGGATAAGGTGGTGCTCCTCTTGTCATCAGCTCCCACAGGAGTACACCGAAGGACCACTAGTCAAACAATGCAAGGGACAATCCGGTGAGAAATATGCCAGCACAAAGATGAAAGGCAATCAATAGGTCTTGATAAATAAACTCGTCTTAGTATATTCAATACTCTGGCTGTTCGGGGCAAAAATTTCCTAAAAGACATTTAGTAAGCTATACATTTTATGATTTATTTAAGCCAGAATTATATAGCATTTAGATTATGAGTAAAAAGAGTATCTGAAGTACACATGATGATTAAAATTTCATCTGTGGTTAGTAGAGTAGGATTTCTAAGTTCTCTTTTATAGACGTAAAGCATGAACAGGTTTCTATCCTTCTCTTTCTCAATAGCATCACTGCAATTTTAGATTACTAACTAGTAAAAGAAAACAAATAAGCCTTCCAAAATTTAAATTTGTAGGATTTCAAATGAACATAAATAGTCAAGAAATGTAACCATATCTAAAAGTTAATGTTAAAAGAGAAGATCTAAGTTAGTATAAGTAAAAATCCATACTAAAAATCAGAAGTAATAAAACTGCTAGGCAACAAGGCTCTTTATTAAAAACTAATTTCAATAAAATATTTGTAGCTTAAAAACATTAAATGAGGGGATTAAAATAAAATAGCTGTATCAGTACATTAAAGAAAGATCATAAGGTCACAGAGAGGTTAAGTGACTTGCTAAAAATTTCCCAGTAAGTCTTAATTCACAGTGGGATGAACATCTAAAAGTTCTTGGCTCTTGGATCTTGCTTGGTCTGCTGAACTTTACTAAATATGTAATCTCTTGACTTAAAGCACTCTACTTGGGATACTACATCAAGTTGTACATATTGTCTTCTCCTGGATGTGTGCCAAGGTAGGATGACATAATGAGAGTAAGTCAGCATGTGGAGGTCATTTTTTGGGCAGAGGACCCAGGAAATCAGTTTTTTCTTAGTAACACTTCCAGGACACTTACAGACTAAGAGGCACATGGGGAGAGAAATGAGGCCCTGAGAAAAAAGGAGCTTTGAGGAGAAGAACACAGACTGGACAGGTGGAGTAGGTGAACATAATATTGAGAAGCATGTGTAGCTCATAATACTCAACAAGAAGAAGAATAAAGGTGTGTCTTTGAACATCACGGCCAAAAGAAAGAAATCAAGTAGGTACTGCAGTTGCTAAGACAATCTCCATTGATGATTCTTTCCTTTTGCCCAAGTGCAAGAATGCTTAAAGGCCACCGACAGCCTTGATCCAAACAGAAAAAACAAATTCTTTCCCAGGTGGGAACTAGATAACTTTGCTGTCTTCTGTAGCCTTTCAAAACCAAAGGTTTTTCAGGCTTTGAAAGCCTGAAAATCTTATGAGTCACTTCTGACAACTTCATTGTGTAAACCTTCAAGTTCCAAAATGTGCATGAAAATTTAAATTAATTTAACAAGTATCTATGGAGTTGATTATATACAAGTAGGCTACTCCCCAAGTTACTGGACAAGTCTAGGGTTTATCCAGGGTTTAGAAAGGGTTGAGAGTATTATGCAATTAACTGTCATATAGAACAGTAAAACATACAGCAATAATACAGAGGAGGTACAAATGTGAAAAGTCAAAGAGATAATAGTGGAGTACTGAGAGGGGCTTCAGGAAGAAAGTGACAGTAGAGTGAGTTTTGAAGGCAAGAGAGAATTTGTTTTATAGGTACAGGTAATGTGAGGACAGAGAGTGTTCCAGATGGAGGGAGTGGGCCCAGGGGTGACAATACACATGCTTTTATTGAATTATAAGTACAATAGTCACTGCTTGATGTGTGGACTAGGTGACGGGATGAAGGATACGTATAAGGTTGAAAGGGGACTGCAAAATTGATGAGACATGCCTGCAGTTGAGCTCTAGGAGATTGCATCTTGTAAATACTATGCTTTAGACACATCAGAGAAGCCAATTCATAAAATGAAGACAGGTCAGAAGATTTCTGGAAGACAGAAGCCCATGAGATTGAACTTCCAAATTAGGGTGGTAGGAGATGGTATATGTCATATAAGTGGGGCACAGTATCCTGCACTTTAAAAAATTATTTTAGCCATGACTGGTGTGGTTTGGGGCAGTGGAATGTTGTCCCACAAACTCAAAGGTCATTGGGGCAATTCCTGGTCAGGGCACATGCCTAAATTGCAGCCCAGGTCACTGGTTGGGGGTGTGCAAGAGGCAACCATCAATGTTTTTTTCACATATCAAATAAGTAAAATCCTTCTTTCTCCCTTTGTTGCCCTCTCTTCCAAAATAAATAAGTAAAATCCTTAAAAAATGATGATCTTATCTAGTCCTTATATCCCTGTAATGTAATGAGTTTCATAGATGCTTTAAGGATGAGGAAACCAAAGTTCTGAGAGACTGATTAGTTGTCTGTGATCAGGTCTCTCTAGCCAATAGCCTAGACTATAGGTGTGTCTGGAGGCAAATTAGCAAAAAAGGGGGGTAGGGTTGGGTAAATTTCTGAGCAATAATTTGAATTCAAAGGAGAGTTGGAGGACTCATAGAATAGGAGAGGTAAGAGGGCAGTAGTTTCTAAGAAAAGCAAGCCCCCTTAAAAGCTTTGCCCTGACAGGATAATGGGGGGGCAGCAAAGAAGGAGCATGACATTGACCAAGAGACAGGATAGAGGAGGGGGAGACACAAAGGGAAGAACATGTGTATGCATGTGCATTAGAAATGAGGGAAACAAGTCAGTTTTAGTTTCAAGACAGGAAAGCTCTATCATTCACACTTATTGTATGAATAGTCAAGCCATTCTGAACATCTGAGCATTGGAAGTGAGCTCATCTGAAGAATCTCTGCCCAACTTTATCAAAAAGGTAAAGATCAAAGAGACTGTTATAAGCTACAAAAAAGGGTCACTGCTGATGTAAGCAAGGAATAGAGTCAGCCAGATTTAAGCATTCAAGATACTGAGATACAGCACAATTTGTAAGAAAACACAATTGAGAAAAAATTGGTAAGCTGATAAAATTTTATCAGGTAAATTTTGATTAATTTTCTATAAAATTGTAAAATTCTACTCCTTGAAAGATGTCAGTAAAGTAATGAAAAGGCAAGCCACATGCTAGAAAAATATATTTGCAAAAACATGTAGTTGCATCCAAAATATATATAGAACCTAATAATTCAATAATTAAAAAATAAACAACCCAATTAAAGAAACCCAGAAAATAAATTCTAAAACTTAAAAGGGTGGGCAAAAGTTTTGAGTAGGCACTTTACTAATGGAGGTATAAGAGTGGTAACAGGCACATGAAAAGATGTTCAGTATCATTAGTCATTAGGAAAATGTGGATTAAAAACAAAATGAGACACCACTACAACCTATTCAAATGGCTAAAACCCCCAGAACTGACAATGACAAGTGCTGATGAGAATGCTGAACAACTGAAACTCCCTGTATTACTGGTAGGAATATAAAATGGTACAGACCGTGTGGAAGAACAGGTGGCAGCTTCTCATAAAGTTAAACATAACACTTATTTACAACCCAGTAATCCTACTTCAGTAATCCATATTTGTCCAAAAGAAGTAAAAATTATGTTCACACCAAAAAACTGTTAAGCAAATGTTAAGGCTGTTATAATTACAGGTAACTTTTGTATGTAATTACTCTATGAAAAACAGTACAATTTCTTAATTTCTTTAAAACATTAAAAATAGAGCTACCGTACAATCCAGCAATCCCACCTTTGGGTATATAACCAAAACAATTGAAAAAGGATCTTGAAGAGATATTTGCACACCCATGTTCATAGCAACATTATTCCAATAGTCAAGAGAAGAAAGCAACCTAAATGTTCATTGATAAATGGGCAAAGAAAATGTGGTACATGCATGTAATGAAATAATTATTTAGCCTTAAAGAGAAGGAAATCCTGTCATATGCTTCAACATGGATGAACCTTGAGGACACTATACTAAGTAAAATAATCCAGTCACAAAAAGACAATACATGATTCTACTTATATGAGGTACTTAAAATAGTCAGACTCTTAGAGACAGAAAGTAGAATGTGGTTGTCAAGAGGCTGGGGGGAGGGGAAAATGGGAAGTTGTTCAGTGGATATAGAATTTCAGTTTTACAAGGTGAAGAAATTCTAGAGATCTGTTGCGTAACAGTGTGTATATAGTTAACATTGTGGTATTGTACACTTAAAGATGGTTAATTTTATTTTGTATTTTTTACCAAAACAAAAAAAGAAATGAACTACTGATACATTGGTACTACTGATAAAACATGGATGACTCTTAAGTGTTATGCAATGTGAAAAGAGACAGACTCAAATACTACTTATGTATGATTCCATTTAGATGACATTGTTGAAAAGGTAAAACTTATAGAGGCAGAAAACAGACCAATGGTTTCCAGGTGCTAGGGGCTGACCACAAAGGGACAAAAGGAAATTATCTGTAATGGTAGAACTGTTCTGGTGGTGGTCACACAGCTTGAAGAGCTGGCAAAGGTAAAGAAAACACAACCAAAAAGCACGAGGAAAACCAGATGGAACAATGCCCCAGAAATGAAAGGAGCCAGAAATTTCAAGAAGGAAGGTGTGGTCAACAGTGTTAAATGCAGAATGATGAAGCAGGATGAAAAAGCCAGCTGTCTGAACAACTAAGTCAATCCTGAATGTAATGGAAGCAGTTTTACTAAGTGTGAAACACTGTACAGTACTGGGTATGAGTAATTGAAAATGTAGTTAATCACACCCTCACTTTTTTTGAATGGGCTGGAAGAGTATTCAGATTTTAGCTGAATTCCATCTGGGCATTTGCAAGAAAGTAGACCTTTCTACAAGCAGCAAGTTTTTGCTTGTAGGTCTTAAATACATACAGGATATTATATGCTTTTGGAAATGTTTCATGTCAACATTCAAAAGATTGTGCTGTCCTGGAAATGAAACTTTATGCAAATTTATCCATGCAATCGATAACCATTTGCTAAAGCAGCATCGTGTATGGATTACTCAGGTTCACCCTTTAGGTAGCACAATATAGTGTCTTTGAATGAGAGAGAGAGACACAGCATTTCATATCTGCAGAAGTCTAGTCAATATTTGAGTGATAGTTGCTTGGTGAGAAGTGGTGGCCTCCAGATGGCATATGTATGTTTGTAGAGGCAGTGGTGTATGTGTGGGAGAGGGGTGTTTCAAAAACTCTGAATTCCTACTCTTGAACACCCCAGATTTCCTCAGGCTCTTTTAATTTGTTTTAACAGTTTTGTTGAGAGATGATTTATATATGATGTAATTCACCAACTGTAGTGTATACTTGATGATGTTTACTAAATTTATATAATTGTGCAGCTATCATCACAATACAGTTTTAGACCAATTCCAACATCCCAGAATATTCCCTCATGCCAATTTAAAGTCAAGCTTCATCCCCAACCCTCAGACCTAGGCTCTGTAATTTTCTGTCTCTATAGTTTTATATCTTTCTTAAAATTTCATGTACTAAATGGAATCATTCAACATGTGATCTTTTGAGGCTGACTTTTTTAACATAATGTTTTTGAGGTTTATCCACGTTTTAGCATGCATCAGTAGTTTCTTTATATTGCTTAGTGGCACTATTCCATTATATAAATAGATATGCCATGTTTTGTCTATCTACCTACTGATGGACATCAGGATTGCTCCTGGTTTTTAGCTATTATGAATACTACTACTGTCAATATTCATGTACAAGCCTTTGTGTGGTAGTATATTTTCATGTGTGTATTAGCTGGCTTATCATACATCTTTTTAATAAAATGTCTATTCAAATCTTTATCCTATATTTTAAAAGTGAGTATTTTGTTTTCTTATTGAGTTGTAAGACTTGGTTCTGGCTCATAATGGTAGACTGACAGTTAGGTATGAATGAATATTATGTTCTTTGGGGATGGGTTAAATTTCCCTATCTAGACAAAACAACAAACAACAAATGTTCGAGAGTTTGTGGAGAAAGGGGGACCTTAGTTCACTGTTGGTGGGAGTGCAGACTGGTACAGCCATTATGAAGAACAGTATGGAATTTTCTCAGAAAAATAAAAATCGACCTGCCTTTTGACCCAGCAATTCCACTGCTAGGATTATATCCTAAGAACCCTAAAACATCAATTTCAAAGAACCTATGCACCACAATGTTCATAGCAACACAATTTACAATAGCCAAGAGTTGGAAGCAACCGAGGTGCCCATCAGTAAATGAATGGATCCAAAAATTGTGGTACATATAAACAATGGAATTCTATGCTGCAGAGAGAAAGAAGGAGCTACTACCCTTTGCAACAGCATGGATGGAACTGGAAAGCATTATGCTGAGTGAAATAGGCCAGGTGTTGAGAGACAAATACCATATGATCTCACCTTTAACAGGAAGCTAAACAACATAACAAACAAGCAAGCGGAATAAAAACAAAGACACTGAAATAGAGAACAAGGGGACAGTGACCAGAGGGGAGAGGGAAGGGAATTTAAGGGGGGAAAAGGGGAGGGATTTGGAGGAACAAGCATGAAGGACACAGGGACAAGAACTAAGGGGGATGGAAATGGGAGGGAGGTGGGGAGCACAGGGCAGGATGGGCTGGGATGGGAGAAATAAACAGAAAACTATACTTGAAAAATAACTAAATAAAATTTTAAAAAATTTCCCTATCTTAAGCTTCTACCTTCTGCCATCACAAATATGTGCCCAGCCTACCTCTGTAGTACCTACTTCTTTTGTCTCTTTCAGAATCTTATCAGAATATCAGGTGTTATGCTCTTCCATGTTCCATCTCATTTTCTTAGTGATCTTATCCTCCCTGAGGATAGGATCTCATTGCTCCTATCATTGCTCCACCATGCCCTGCAACAAACTTATTTATTGAAAACAAACTCCCCAGTCACCCTCAACTTATTTATAATGTCTCCCCCACCTACTCATAACAGCTGAAACTTGGCGTTAACTTGAAGACCAAAATTTCTTTGAAACTCTTACCAATCAAGGACATACCTCTCCCTCTTGCTAACTCTCAAGGATGGGGGTAATTGACTTCTCAGTTCCAAAGCCTCACTTAGATCCCTGTCCCTTGTTATTTCTCAATAGCTGCCAACCCTTTTCCTTTTGAAGTTCCCTCCATCAGCATTATTTTCTGCCTAGTTTGTTTGCTTATGTCATGGATTTGTACTTTTTCTTTTTTCAGTTGTTATCCTCAAAAACTGAAATGTCAATGTTTTTATACCTCCAGACATCATAGTATTCTTAACTTATTGCATGCAAATAGAGTAAGTGTACTCTCTAGTCCAGTCAAACCCAGGCTCCTCAGAACACTCTAGGCCTCTGAAGTTATTCAGTTTCTAAGACCCTTTTTGTGTGCTGAACAGCACTGGACCCTCTGGAGCATTCCATTTTTTTCTTGACACTTTCTCTTCTCCGGCTTTCATGACAATCTCTTCTCCTGGGTCTTTTACCTTTCTGCTTTTTCTCCCTCACTTTGTACGCATGATTCTCCCTAATAATTACTTTTGGACTGTCAAAAGCATATTTTCAGCCTTGGCATTTGTAATGGACTGTGTTCTCCCAAAATTCATGTGTTGAAGTTCTCTCAGTGTGAGGGGATTAGGAGGTGGGGCTTTTGGGAGATAATTGGTTTTAGATGAGGAGATGAGGGTGGGTCATCATGATGGGATTTGTGCCCTTACAGGAAGAGATACCAGAAAACTTGCCCTTGCCCTGACCCTCACAGAAGGACACAATGAGAAAGTGGTTATGTAAAGTCAGGGAGAGGGTTCTCCGATCTTGACTGGGCCATGCTGGCCTGATCTCGGAATTTCTAGCCTCCGGAACTGTGAGAAATGTCTGTTTGTTTAAACCACCTGGCCTATGGTTTTTGTCATGACAGGCTGAACTGACTAATACAACGAAAGAGGTTGTCCATGTGGCAGATCCACATTTCCAACTGCCTGATGGATCTCTCTTTCTGGATGTTCTACTCTCAAGTCAAACTGCTCAGCTTGGTATTTTTTCTTCTAAACTAGCTTTTGCTCCTATGCTTCACATATTTGTAACTATACCAGTATATAACTTACTCACCTTTAATTTTTATCAATTTCTTGCTGCATATTTTTGATTATACCTCTAAGATACTTTTCCTTCTATCTCTTCTTTTCTGTTATTACAGTTTTTATATTATTTCAAATTCTAACTTTCATTTTGTCTTTTGGTATCTAACTCCTTCCAAATCATTTTACAGAATAAAGGAAGACTGTAGTCTAATCTAATTATACTTTAATGTTTTTATATGGCCACAGAATAAATTACAGACTCCCTAGCTTGCTTTCCAAGAATCTAGTATGAAGATATTTTTCTCATTTTATTCTCATAACTCTCCTCTGTGCCCTCCAGTTTTGCCAATCGCTCCATGCTTCCTGTTTCCATAGAATTTTAAAGATGTGTATACTTTCCTGCCCCTTTGTCTCACTTGTATTGCTTATTTCATTGCCTATTCCATCCCCCTTTAAGGCTCATCTTGAAACTGACAATCCTTTAACTTTGATTAAATTTAGCTTTAAATTGTAATTCTAGAAATCATATTTCACTCTCTCTTTCTATATCCTAGAGAAATCTAGCTTTTACCCTGGAAAATCAGCAAACTCTGGGGCTGCAGAAGACAATAGTGGGGACCTGACTAAAGATCACATGGTCAGGGGCCCTGGCAAGCTAAAGATAATATCTAGACCTAAGTTATGTTTTAGTTTCTAAATGTGAAGGTGGAACAACTCTCTGTCTACTTTCTCATGAATCTAGACATCAGATCTGTCCTCAAGACCTGAAGAAATAATGTATTACCATTATTTCACCTCCAACCAATAAGCTTTCAGCATGACCCTGAGCCCCCTACAATGTCTTATAATTTTGCCCTATGCAATCTGTAACCTACATGCCACCAGGGAATTTGGACTTTTGAGGTATTAGCTTCCTGTTCTCCCAGATGGCACCATTTATAATAAAATAGCCAAATATGTCTCCATTGCAATTCTCTGGGTCTAGTGTTTGGCTCTGCTAGCACCAAGTGGATGAACTCTTTCTAGTCTGTGACAGTTTCAAGCACAGTCTTTTCCTCCAGGTAGAAGACCCAGGGGTCAGTACTCAGGTCTTTTGAAGCTTGTTTTGTGAAAGAATGATGACCTTTGCAGAGAAAGGAGGGTATATTGCTAGCTAGGTGCAGGAATAATGACTTCGTTGCTAGACCTGCCTCAGTTACAGCTTCCAGATGTCTCAAGATGGAATTCTGGTTGCCATGAGTTCTTGAGCTATGAGTGGCTGGGCTGATCCCAGTCTACTTTGTGGGATAGATATGTCTTCTCTTTCCTACTGAGCTGAAGCTCCTGGAGGACACAGTTCACACCTGGTTGGGCTTCCTAGGAATCTAGGACGGTGCCCTGCTAGACAAATGTTTTTGAATAAATTAATTTATAAAAAGATACCTTGACTACCTGTTAGACAATCAGTTCACTTTTACTCACAAAGAAAACCAAAATTAGTGATGTTAAAGACCTCTTTTTTTAAAAAAATTAAGTAGCCATAAAACTACTAAAAAATTGGGGTATGAAAGTAAAAGAGGAGAAGATCACGGGTGATTAATAATATATTACCACATCTGACTTGGTGGTAAACTTCTGAGTTTGTAGACTTTCTAAAGCCATCCACTTCACTGGCAGTTTTGCTCCTGTTTTGTTGTGTACACTGTAGTATTCTTTATCATACATGTCTCTGGCAAGACCAAAATCAGCAACCTTGACAGTGAATGTTTCATCCAGCCTACAGAAAGGACAAATATTATTACTGGTGGCTCAAACAGACTAATTTACAGTGATGCTGAATATTTACAGAACAAGTGACTTCTGTCTTTGAAAACCATAAACCCATAACTTCTGCAGGGAGGGCTTCTTCTAGCCTCAATTGACTAACACTATATTACAGTGGAATTCTTGAATAAAAATGCTTGACATTTATATTATAAATTCAACAGACTAAGCAAAGAGATCATGAATGATGTGGTATAAGAAAACTTGTTTTGTTTTAGTAGATCTGAAGAAGTGGTAAAATTGGGCGCCCTTCCAGCTTTCTTTGGTTGCTAAATCAAGTATGCCAATGGAATAACCAAAGTAATTGATAATAGTCATTGTGAACTTATCACTAATACTGAGTTTTATAGGGGATACATGACAAGGTAGTGTTGTCTTACTTTTTAAATCTCAAATGGGCTATGATAGTACATAAAACTTACATATCCCACCACTGAGGTAATAGAGAAACAGGACACATAGTAAAGCATCTAAGAAAAACAGCAAGGTTCAAGAAAATCAATTTCCACCATCTAAGGCTATTTACCCCTTTGTTTAAGTGGGCTTTTATGTTGTTACATTGACCAAAATCAAGGTAGGAAATTAATAGCACAGCTTTCTCATTCACGCATACCATAAGCCATGAATCGGTGCATTATAAACTGGTGACTGCTGTATTATATAGCCCAGGCAGCCAGATACAAATACAATTCCTTGTATATTCATTCCCAAATACCACTTTGGTAGGGTTCTGCAGGCTGACTTCAAATCCACTCTTGGGAAGTGAGGCTATGTTGGTATTTGTGTTACCAGCCCTCTCCTTTTCACTGTAAAAGGCTGAAGACCAAATTCTACCTCCCTACACTAATGCAGCGTGAAACCACCAACACTGAGGTCTACTTTTAGGGAGGAAAAAAAGGCAAAAGCATGCAACAGCTGTTAAGACCCCCTCTGGAGAATCCCTTTTAAATTTTCCAATGATAAGAGACTGAAAGCCCCACCATCTCCAGTGCATGCATACGGATTTAGAACTATAAGGGAAATAAAGAACTTTTGCATAAAAAGAGAAGTTCCTCAGTATCCTTAAACAGTGAAAACAGATTCCTCCTTGTCACTTAATTTGGACTGTGGTCACAGAGATTCATTTGTATACTTACATACAGTTTCTTGCTGCCAAGTCTCTGTGAACAAACTTTTTGCTTGCAAGATATTTCATGCCTTTGGCCACTTGAAGACCAAAGCCAATAAGATCTTTCACAGTTGGGTTCTGCAATCAAAGAGAATTGGAAACACATAAACTAGGTATCTACTATTCTAGCTGTGATCTCAGAATTCTGAAATGTTTATAAAAATTATCTTGTTTCAAATGGTAACTCGTGCTTTGTTAATAATAGCAACCATTTATTAAGTACCTCCTACTGTTTGCAAAGCACCAGGCTAGATGGCTTTTTAAATTTTGGCTAATCCTCCTATACTTCTGTGAGACAGATTTGTAATAGGGGCTCCATTTTTCATCTGGGGAACTGGGGGTGTTTTAAAATGTGGATTTTGTTATTATTCAGGGATAGTGAAGCCAACAGATGGGAGACAATTGCCACTGAGAACATAGTTTGTTGGAACCCACAGAAGAGACCCACACAGGGAAGCACTGGGGTGGTCAGGAGACAGGGGGAGGCTGACTGTGGCTTCTGTGGGAAGAAATGGGCAAGGCAGCGTAAACCAGCTTAAAATTGGCTAATCTGAGTAATTTCAGCAGTTGGGCTTTTGGATATAGGTGCTGTCTCTAGTTGTCTGGTATCTGGCCCTTCAGTGATTAGGGCAGGGAGATAGTAACCTACAGTGTGAGAGCCCTTTAAAGGAGGTGGTTGGAGTTTAGGCTCTGGATTGGCAGGTTTGCCTGCTCTTTGAAGGTGAGTTGTTTATCATGCTTGGGAATTTTCTGTTCCTGGGCGTGATAGTCCCTCCAGGGTCAGCAAGTCCCCAGAAGTCAGAAATACATGGTTAATAAAGGAAGTTCACAAAGAAATAAATCAGCCCCAAATGACTCAGATGGTATGTGGTGGAGTTAGGGTTTTAATCTAAATATTTTAGGCTCCAAAGCCCACACTGAAGTGAAATCAATCACATCAGAACTCCTCCTATACATAGGTACTGAAGCTTGAGCTCACAACTCCAGTGGCCTGGACTCTCATTCTCTAGGCACTCTGCCCACAAAACTGGATGGACAGTGGGAATGTCTCTAGTGACTCTAAGAATTGTATCTGAAATTGCATAGATGTTATTTTGGCTGGTAGCTTTACTGGTACCTGTCCATCAGGAACAGGGTCTGTCTTCCTCAACAGCTGCTGTGGAGTTTGTGAGGCCAAGAGGCAGACAGCAGGGACCCTGAGAAGAGGGCTACAGCCCTACTTAATGCACACAGCAGGCAGAGAAGCCAGTTCCTTGTGTTTCTCGTCAAGACACATCTATGTTAGTGGTTGTCATTAGTATGGACTGCTTGGGTTTTAAAAGGCCATATACTTATAATAATACATCTCTATCATTCTTTAGCCCTGGGGTCATAATATCTTGGAGAAGGCAGCACATTCAGTCAGATGAACTTATTAGGATAACGACAAGAGTTAAAGTGGAAAAGTGGCATCTTTCAGGGCACCTTTGTTCTTTGTAAGGTAAAGTCACCCTATCTGCAAACATTCATTATCAGGGGGCATTTTGTTCTTTTTGCTGAACACAAACATTACTTTACCACCCCATCCTAGAACTTATTTTTTCTGAGAAACGGACTCTATATTTATGAAGTTGGTTTTGATCAAGAACTCCATTAATTTCCAAAGAACCTTGGGTACAGGGGCTAAGGAGCTGTATGCCACCTGTTTTCAGTTCTGGGATCTCCTTCCTTTTTCCTCTCTGGTTCTGATCTGACCATCACTTGCCCATCCTTTAGGTCCTATCATAAATGTCACAAGAAAACTCTGATTTAGGGGCCTAAAAATCTCTTTTGTAACTCTGAGCTCATCATTTAACAAATATTCACTGAGAGTTCATGGGCCAAACACTATTTTAGGTGTTAGAGCTATAGCAGAGAACATATAAGCAAGAATCCCAACCCTCAGGGGTTTGCACTTTAATGGGATGTGTGTGTGTACATATACAATATTATAAATGTGTATATATATAGTTATTATTTATTAATTTATCACCTAGCATAGCAGTGTTCAATAGAAATATAATGCAAGCCATAAATGTAAATTAACATTTTCTAACAGTCACATTAAAAAAAAAAAGCAGCCCTGGCTGATGTAGCTCAGTGGATTGAGCACAGGCCTGTGAACTAAGGGACTGCAGTTCAATTCCCAGTCAGGGCACATGCCTGGGTTATAGGCCAGTTCCTAGCAGGGGATTCACAAGAGGCAACCGTACATTGACATTTCTCTCCCTCTCTCTTTCCCTTCCCCTCTAAAGATAAATAAATAAAACTTAAAAAAAAAAGGCTTGAGAAGCATTTATGTCCTAACAACTTAGTAGCCATATGAGAAGAAAAGGACATACGTTGAAACAAAAATATTTAAAAAAAAATTTTAAAGCATGTAAAATTAATGTTCACAATATATTTTTCAATCCAACATATCCAAAATATTATAATTTCAACATGTAACCAACAAAAGGAATGATTAATATTTTATCTTTTTATATTAAATATTCAAAACCTGGGGTGTATTCTACACCTAGAGCACATCTCAATTCAGACTAGCCACATTTCACATGTGGCTCATTGACTCAGCCCTAGTGTGCAAGAGGATGATAAATGTGAGGGAGAAAAATAAAGCAGGTGAGAAGGGGCATATGGAAAGCAAGAGAGGGGGATGGGTAAATTGCCATTTTAGGCAGGTCAGGAAACCCTCACTTTGAAGACAATATCGGGGTATAAAGCTGAAGTTGAGACGTGGATATTTGGGGGGGAAATTCTTCAGGCAGTAGAAATAGGAAATGCAAAGGAGAGTGGTTGGCAAGTGTGAAGAATAGCAAGGGACGTATTTGTAGTTTTCTAATATCTTTCTTCCTAGAGCTAACACTCCATGTGGGCTGTGGCTTCTATGCTTCTATGTCTCCTGTGCTGTGGTGTTTCTGGCACATAGTAGGGCCTCCAAGAGTACTAAATGTACCTATCAGTGCAATGGTAGAACAAGGCTGTTTGCAGGGAAGAATCACTGCCCCTGGGGAAACTCTTCTAGGTATCACTGTCTTCCTGTCAGGATAGAAAATTTTCAGGTACAAGTGAACTGAATCAGCTTCTGATAGGTGTACATTCGAATGGTGCCAACATTTTATATGTGCTTTTTTTTTTCCCCAAAAAAGGCTTTTAAAATGGTTCAAAACAGGTCTAAATATTTTAGAAGGCTGGCTGGCTTACAGCTAGTTCATCAGTTAGTAAGCTTGGTAATATACTTACATGAGTCTCATTTCTAATGAAGTTTCGAAGATCTCCATGTTTCATGTACGGTAGGACCACCAGTGGAGACCCCTCACTTCGAAGGCAGATTCCCAAGAGTGACAAAACATTGGGATGACTAAAATCTTTCATGATGATTCCCTCAGTCAGAAATTGGGAAACTTCTCCTAGGTCAGTGATCCCTGAGAAATCCAGTGGTGGAGACATTGATTTCATTACAGAACAATGAATAGTTTATCATGTGCAGATAGGAAAAGCAATGGCATATAAAATCATAGGGCTCTATCTTGTTCCAATGTCTCATCCTTGGACTGCTTTTTTACAACATATCTGAGTGGATGATGTTGTCCTGCACTGTACCTTCAAGTCATCACCTACACCCATTTTTGTAGGATAGTGCCTACCAACCAGTTTGTCTGACGCAAAAAAGGAGAATAAAGCAGGTTTGTTGATTTCTGTAGTGCCAATTTAGGGCAGGGGTTGGTGATATTTTTGTAGAGCCAGGCAGTAAATATTTTTTAGCTTTGTGGGTCATATGGTTTCAAATACTCAACTCTGACATCATAATGCAAAAGCAGCCAGAGACCATGAGCAGCTAAGTCTCAGGAAACTTTATTTTGGAAAATAGGTGGCAGATCATAGTTTCTGGTCCCTGGACTGGGAGGATTTGAAGACCAATCGTTGTCATGTATCTAAGTAAATTTTTCTGGTTTCTTATCATTTCTAGATAGAGATCCTGAGGGCTTGATACTGGTCAACATTAATGAAGAGTTAACAACTTTTAATTTATTAATCTAATATCAGTGTCAGTGATGATACTGTTTTACAAATGCAATGCATTCTGAAACTTGGAAGTCCCTAGAGATCAATGCACATCAGGGAGAGAGAAAGAATTCTTGGTGTTAGGGTTGTTCTTAGTACAATTGGCTGTGGTGCCCTCTCATGAGGCAAATTTACTGAAAATCATACTTAACCCATCACAGTGTATAGTTAGATTTTATATAAACTGTCTCTTGCGATCAGACTTCCAACAAAATCAACCATGTAGCATGGAGATTTATGTGTAAAAAAGGCTAAAATAATTCTGACAATAATGTATCTTGAAGAAAAACCTTTCACTTGTGCATTTAAATTTTATTACTTCAATATAAATTGGTAATATAGATGGTTAGTATTTTGTAGGATGCTCCAAATAATGAGCAAAACATTTGGAAATTTAGAGAAGGCCAGCACATGTACTTTACATGTGAGGCCTGTAAGCAAAGGGAGAGCCAGGGAAATGCTAGTATGAGGAGTACATTGGGTCATTCAAAATAGTAATTTTTGCCATAATTATGGTCACCCATAAAGTCTTAGTTTTTGCCTGAAAGCATTGCTTATTTTTTAAAGAGAGTATGCATCCCATTTTTAAAGTTTCTCAATAACTGGTAAAATTAAAAAAAATCCTAACATTAAAAAATAGGGGGTAAGTTTTACTTGTTTAGAAAGTTCTTTTATGTGGAATATCTCATTCCCTACAAATGTGGATAAATGAGGTATTATCACATTTATAATTTTTCGATTTTATGCCAACATATATTTATCCTGTTTGTCTTATTTCATTTTTTATCTTTTTAATGGGAGTTGTGGCTGAAAGATAATTATAATAATGCCTGTGGGTAAAATGAGTCATTACTACTGTATGTGCCAACATGCTTCCAATAGTTTCCATAAATGTCACTTGCAAAACAAGTATTACAAACCAAACATAGTGAAATGATACTCAGCTCGTCGTCCACGAATCTCATTTCTCTTACACTCTAACTTGTGAGCGCCCTGAGGGATAATTTTTGAGGAACCATCTCAATAAGAATTTACAGCAAATTTTCAGGAATAAGTCCATAATTCCAGCAGTAGCTGATTTTCCACAAGAGGAAGTGTAAATCAACAGTATATTATAAACTATTAGTTTGCAAACCACAAAATCAAACTCCACGGTTAAATAAAATATAACTTACTATTCAAGGATTTCACAGCACAGTGAATTTTCTTGTCATCATTGTCCAATAAAGTCCCATGATATACGCACCCGAAATGACCTACATGAAAGAGGGTACTTGGTTAGTACTGCATCACGTTAAATTGTGTAATAATTACTTACTAAGCCCCTCATGATCAAAAAGCTATTTTCTACATGACAAAAAGTACATTGTATTTTCTGCTTTGACTAATAATATCACTCTGCGAGTGTGTTTGTGAATACAGGGTGGGGCAAAAGTAGGTTTACAGTTGTTCAGATGGAAAATAATATCATAACTGGTAAGTAATAATGTAAAAATAAACTGATATAACTATTGTTAAAGGCTAAATATAATAAAATGCTCAATCATAGTGAAACCAGTGAAAAGAGGAGTTACATCTATCTAAAAAATTTTATTATTTTTAAGAATAAAATAATGTCTTATAAATATGAATGTAAAGTTTTGCCTCCATGAATACATTAAAATAAAGCTCTCTACATTCCAATAAAGTAAAATAAAATAAAAATGTGACCATTAGAAGATTAGTGCTATAGAATAAGGACTTCCCTCATTAGTCACCAGTTAATATGTAATCCAGGTTGGCCAAAACTGAAAGGAAATAACCCAAATGAAGCAAATTCACTCTGACTCATACATCCAGTTCTCTCTGGCTTTAGTCACATCACTTTCCCAATAACAGCCTTTCATCCAGTGGCAGTAATTTTTCTGAGGTGCCAAATGCCTGATAGCTGTGTAAGTCACTCATTAACTAATTCCTCTAACCAGCCAAGGCTCCCTGGATGCCTTGGTGTGAGTGTCAGTTATTAGTCTGCTTTCTTATAATGAAAAGATGGATTTAAAAAACCCTATGATCTCAAGGGCTCACATTCTACTGGTGGAAACATATAAATAATAGTTAATATTTATAGAATCATTAATGATTATAACTGCTTAAGAGAAATAACTGCCATTTAGTACTTTCATGATAAAAGTAAAATATTCTAATTTTATAATGCATAGAATGAGAACATCATTAGTGAGGCCACACACTCAAACTGGTATAATTACTGGAATTTATAGGCTGGTAACAGAACTATACATTACTCTGATGTGAAAAATGTTTATTAACTGTAAAGTTGCTATTAGGGAGGAGGAGCAGGCCAAGCATTAAAATCTGGAATATATGATAGAGGAATGTGTGTGTGCTCTCCCAGGAAAATGGGAAGGCCCTGTGTTCACATAAGGCAAATAATCCCATCAGCTTCTTTAGCAATCTGCAGCATGCTGGCAGATGCTTGTGCTACCTCTCGCAGCACATGGTGAATACAAGGGATCAGAGGCCATTCAGGGTTAAAGGTAAAAGCTTTTTAGAAGAAAGGGAAGAAGAGTAAAGTTCATTTTCTGGCTTCTGGCTGGTTTCTTTTTCTGATAAATATTTCCTTCAATATTGTGTGTTAGCTATTATTGCTGCTCTGTCTGGCTTATAACAAATAAATATTCATTCCTCTTTGTATAAAGAAATTAGAATGCACTACAGATATAATATATGTTGTTTCAGATCAGAAGAATGCTACAAATTCCCTGTGTTCTGATGCTTTTTAGCAGTGTACAAACTGCTACAAACCAGGGCTTCATAGATATTGTTCTCAGAATAAAGAAAGACTGGAAGAAGATATGAATAAAAAATATTGGAACATAAAAGAATGATGTTTTGGAAAGAAGTAAATAGCACCTTTTACTTTCAAGAAATCATGGTTATCACTATGAAAAGGTGAGGAAGGAATGTGACTTATTTTTAGATTGTTTGGAGATTATTAAATTGCTTCCAAGGATAGGGCACGTGCCCATGGATGTTATTTGCGGAATGTTGCCCTGCAGAACTGAAATCAAGAGCACTTGTTATCATTGCTCTGTCAGTTGCTTTCACCATTGTCTAAATTCCTAATCTGCAATGGCAGAAGATAAAATGCTTACTGGAAAATTGTATTTAACAAAAAGCTGAGTGGAAACACTTACCTCTTCCTATGACTTCATTGAAATGCACAATCAGGCTACTAGGCCCAATCACTACGTGCTGGACTGCCTGAACCAGCTCTGGATTTAGAGCACTGAGGTCAATGTGGACGGTATTTTGCAGTAATGGACTGGATATATCAGAGTCCCCACCAGTCAGGATTGGGGACAGGTCCATCAGAGGATACTGCATTTGTCTGCATGACCCATTCTGAGATGAGTTAGGAAACTGCTCTGCAAGATAAAGTAAAATTATTAGAAAACAACAGCAAAACCTCATGTAGTAGAGACTGCAACAGGGGTAGCGAATTGAATTAATTAAGAAGACTGAATTTAAAAGTTAAATAAATGATGCTTTGTATCATTGCATGAAGGTAGTGAGAGCCTTTACTTAGGAACTGGCTTAATAAAAATAGTAAGTTGGGAAAATATACTGGTATATATATACAACACTCACACACAAGTGTTTTAAAAAATGTTTTTAAATTTTCTTTTAAGCAGACTGAGCATTCACTTTGACACCTTGTTTATTCTCTTCATTTCTTTAAACATTTCTCTTTTATATATATAACAAAAATCCCTGTTTGAAGTTCACTTTTAATGTACTATATTCTTAAGAATGGGAAGTAGCAGAAGTAGTCTGGCTTTTGAGTGACTACTGTTTATTGATAGAATTAATTAGTATTGCTCAAAACCTACATGGATTCCTGTATAGTGAAATATTTTACATATATATGTTTACAAATATAAAATGGCTCCATTTTCAGAAATGAAGCTCTTTACATTAGAGGTAAATTCTTCATTGTGTGAAGATGGCAGCAGATCTCAAATGGTGTTACCACCATTTAGAGAAGGCAGATTAGAATTAGGTAACTGTACCACCCCCATTGCTTAGTTGAGGGCCCTTGGAAAGGGACTAGCATTCCTTATAAACTGATCTTTGCAACCAAAGTCCTTCAACAGCCTCAGGAAAGGAGGTGCTCTATTGCAAGGTGAGGCTTTTTCACATCAGGGGTAAGGAATTGCAATGTTGAGGATAAATTTCTTAATGCAAAATAGGGCAGAGAAGCCACCAGTTGCTTTCTCTTTTTTACTGGGAATGCAGTCATGTTAGGGAGAGGGAATCACATTCACAGCAATAGACCTAAAGATAAACTAAGCAGGGTATTGAACTGTATTAGTATATTACATGGGGAAAGGGGGAGGGTTATGCGTGTGTGTGGGGTTCTCCATTGGTACCGAAAGATAATATCATTTGTTTGCAAATAAGCAGGAATATTAGAATTTGAGAGAGGGACATAAAAAGAAAGTTGATGGTGCCATAACTATTCCTAATCCCACTTAAGCACTTTTTTTTTTGTATTTTCCACATTGAAATGTTTGGTTAATAACAAGGAAATTTGGCCAGAGCAGTAAATTTCAACAGTGGTTCCAGAAAAGCTTGGGGCCACCTATAGCTACAGTAATCACTGTCTGAAAATGAGACAGATAGCAATTACATAAAGAACACATTTAGAACACCAGGGGAGTACTTGAAATATTGAATGGGTGAGAGAAGAAGAGCGCCCAGCTGGCTGCCTGTTCCTTTGATCCCAGAGTCTAGTTCCCTCAAATCCTGTGCAATGAATAAGAATGGAAATGAGCCTCTTTGAGCTCAGTTCCTTCACTTTCACTTCCCAGAGCATTGCACCTAGATGTCAGGGTTCTAAATTCTCAAGGTGCAGAGACTGAGAGAAATTCTTGGTAGAACACAGGAAAAAAGTCCCCTGGCACGAAAATTCTATTGACCCTGGGGTTAAGTTCAAACAGGAGCATAAGCCACTGAAACCATTAATGTGTGATTCTGGTGTAACATCACAGAGAATCCTAGGTCTGCATGAAAGACTGATGAAGAGGCTGTCCCCAGCAGACAGAGAAAAGCTTTGTAGTTGCCTCTTCATTAGATGCTGGCTGTGCATTTTCTTTCTTTTCTCTGGATGACCTTCTTTTTGCCTATTTTACTTTTCCATGTCTCCATGGAGCAGGTTCAATGTAGAAAAATTGGTGGAACTCAAGCTTCTTACCAGTGATGATAGAGGTTTGATGAGTAATGAAGTTGAAAGAAGATTAAGCCTTAAAAAATTACTTGTGAATTTTAATTATCATATTGTAGATTAAAGCTATTAAAGGTGAATGTAAGAAATAAAAGCTTAAATTTCAAAACCATAAAATAGATTTGATTTGTCCATGTTGTTAAGGGCATGGTTTTTTTAGTAGCAAATGGAGTCAGGTGGGCAAAGATAGTATTTATGTGTATCTATATAGAATTAATATAAACTTCAATACATAAGAGGCAGTAAATGTAAAAAAAAGTTAAAATGTTAAATGCCTCGCTGCTCTTGCACTTGTTTGGAGGATCAGCTTCTAAGTTTTCCAGTATCCTCGACCATCTGTGACTCATTTTATTTGTCCAGTGGTAAATATTCAAACAGGGAAATCCCTGTATTTGACTCACGTCCTGTAACTTCTAAAGATAACAGAGCAGATACAATCCAGACATTTTGCTTTTACCAGGAGATTTTAAATAAAATAATGTGAAATATGCTGGTTAACCTAACCATTATTAGGCCTACTGTTTTGTAAAGTAGATGATATGAATCCTTCCTTTTTAAATAGCATAAATGAAGGTTTTTATTGGATATGACTCAAAATATATTAAAGTCCTGGAATGCTGAGGGTAAAAGGCTGTTTACTGACTATTCATGGAGAATCCTTCAAAGGAGTACTAAAGGTGTAATTTAAATGTTTGAGGATCAACATTTGGAGGTAAGAAATATAGCAGTGTCAACATATACTTAAATAAATACACACTTTGTATTTTAACTTTTCCTGGGTTGTTAAAGAGAGCTTTATAATTTCTTAACATTGCGCTGAAATGATCAACACCTTATGTTTGCTCAAATTATTTTAAAATTAATCTTTTTGAGGTAACAAATTGGCAGTTACAAAAACAGCCACGGGGGATGTAAACCACAGCATAGTGAATATAGGCAATTGTACTGTAATCACTATGTATGGTGTCAGGTGGGTACTAGACTTACTGGGAGGATCACTTTGTAGGGTATATAAATGTCTAACCACTATGCTGTACACCTGAAACTAATATAATATGGAAAGTCAACAGTAACTGAAAAATAAAAATTAACCTTTTGTGAGAAAAGAGCTTAAAGACTCTAAAAATCTAATATAATATATAAATGAGTTCATTTTAAAATAAGAGCCTTGTAATTATGTGTCATATTAAATACTTCTTTAGCCAAAGAGAGGTAAATACTTCTTTTATATTTTTATTAAAATATGAAAGCAAAACCAAAAATAAACAATAATGCCACAACCCACTGAGGTGTATATATAGGTACTTCTCAGAAAAACAAACTAAATTTACCTTCTGGAAAAGTAGCTCGGTAGTCTACAGATTCATTTGAAACCATTTCTGTAGTTGGGCTTACACTTCGGGCACTTACAAGCCTATCCAAATGAGGAGTGTGTACTCTTGCATCATAGCGAACTAATTCACTGTCCAGATCTTAAAACAGAGAGAGAAAGAGTTCATTAAAGACTTGGCTATCATGGGTCTCAGCAGAGCTTAACCGAGTGACAAGAGTTCATGGGTTTTATGGATTGCATATACAATGGTGCACAGAATGTAACAAATTTAAACTGTAATGACTGTATTCTTAAGGTAACACCTTAAAACAAACAATTAAAAATGTACCTTTAATTTGCTTTCGCCTTTTCAGCCACAGGAAAAGCCCAAGTAATAAGAAGAGTATTACAGATATTGTGACAACACCAACAATCAATCCTGTGAAATTCTGATCTGGTTGAACTATTACTTTTCCAAGGACAGTTGAAGAAACAGCTTGTTTCCACTAAAATGACAAAGAAATGCCAGAATTTAGCTGGCTATTTTAGATTACTACAAAACATACTAAACAGGTTGAATCAAAAATACCACCTGGTTACGACTCTCCTGTAAGTGGCATGATTGCCTCCAGAGTAATAAGACATCCCTCAATTCCGCTTCCCTATTTTAGTGATTAAGGGCTACTGATCTCTGAAGTACTAATATGATATTTAGCTGTTTGTACTTGTAACTAGGTATTAGGGATAGAAAGCTGTCTTTGATCTTGAGAAATTGCATTACAAAAGGGGAGGTAAACACAAATAGATCATTATAATGCAATGTGATGTGTCCCATAGAGGTATAAATAAATAGTAAAAAAACAGAGACAATGGGAAATAATTCTGTCCTATAGGGTAGAGTAGAGGAAAAAGGAGACTTACCATTAGAAGTAAATGATCATTATTATGGCATAATAAAGCCTTAAAATATTTAAAATCAGTTTTGATACACAGAGGAAATCTTTGAGGTCCCTTCTAGCTCTAACATTGTATAATTTTTAGGATTTATGGTTCTTCTAAATTCCAAACTTGAAGTTCATAATTCAGCCCTAAATTTTCTAACTTTCTTTGTAGTTTTTCATTTCATAACTTTTCAGAAGATTTCAGGAACCCTTTAAAAGGTACTTATTCTCAGATAAACAAAATGTGGTATATCTACACAATGGAAAATTCAGCCTGGTATATTTATAAAATGGAATATTCAGCCTTAAAAGTAATGAAGTTGTGACACATGCTGTAACATGGATAAACCTTGAAAACATGCTAACAAAATAAGCTAGACATAAAAGAACAAATATCATATGATTTCACTCATATGAAATATCTAGATTAGGCAAATCTATAAATACAGAAAGTAGATTAGAGGTTCCCAAGGGCCAGGGAAGAGGAGGAAATGTGATAGAACTGCTTCATGGTTTCAGAGTTCTGTTTGGGGTGATAAAAAAGTTTTAGGATTAGATAGTGATGATTGCATACACATTGTGAGTGTAATTAATACCACTGAATTGTACACTAAAACATGGTTAAAATGGCAAATTTTGTTATACATATTTTACCACAAGTAAAAATATTAATATTGTAACATACCTCAAACCATTGAACTGTATACTTTAAATGTGTGAATTGTATGGTATGTGAGTTAATCTCAATAAGGCTCTTTAAGAAAAAAGAGTGCAAAAAAATCACTCATTCTGGTTCCAGGTTATCTGATTTAGCTGTCTATTGAAGAAGTTCCTGCAAAATAGTTTAACTTCTATTTTATTTTGTCCCATGCATATACATTCCTTTCCTTATGAGGTCCATGCATTTGAGATTACTGTGGAAGGCAGTGGTATAAAGGCTCTGGCCTTCTAGGGTGCTGGGAGGTAAGGGCAGGGGCAATCTTGGATGTGTCCTTATCCCTCCTGAGAACTAGAGCAGATTGGCAAGAGTGTGGCATGATGCAAAGGGAGTGTGGCTGGGAAGGACTTCTGAAATCTACTCTCTCAAGCTTGGGAAGGAGAGTGAAACAAAAAACTCACTATTTCTAAAATAACAACCAAGAATCCAGGCTGAGCTGATGAGCCAAAGCCAACACACAAATGAGCTTTAATGATTTATTTTAAGCCTGCAAGTGACATAATTACACTAGCATATTTATTTACATCGTGAGAGGAATGCAGGAATCCCACCTCTATATTTAGCTCACTGTTCAATTTCAGCAGGTCATTGGGGACTGTACATAAAATAGCTTCAGAATGTGAGTATATATTCTCACAGCTCTTATTTCCAACTTTTAACACTTCACCTTTAACTGCTTCAGGGTCAATGTCATTTCCCTGGAAGGAAAAAAAAGAGGTTGTTAGCACTTCATAGTTTTGCAGGAATACTAACAATTGTGAAGGGATATAAATATACTGTAAATATAGGCCATTTTGTTTGCCAAGGCACATGATACTCAGTTTATGATATTCATTTTCATGGGAATTTGGATGGCTGAAAGAAAGCATGACCACTTCAGGCATGGAGTAGTCAGAAGTCACGGCACATAGTTTTCCATGGAACTGGATTTCAAAGAAAAGGAGAGAGGGATTTGGTTCACATGCTTACATTAAATGAACTCTTACCCAGGGGGTCTTGATGGTTGGCAAAATGGAAGCAATTTAGAGTTAGTTGTTGTGCCACCTAACACTGCCTAATGTAGTGCAACTTAGCTCTGGCTCCACTTTTAGAACCACAATGGCAGCTTTATAAAATGCTGATGCCTGGGTCCCATCTCCCGAAACTCTCATTTAATTCATTCATTCATGTTAATATATTCCTTCTGTGTTTGAATAGGAAAGTTTCTTTTCATCCTTCTCGAACTGTTAAATCCTATACATAAATAAATTTATTTTTAAGAAAATTCCTGTAAGATGCCATGTGACCCTTATTATGATTTGAGTACATGGTTACCTATTTTGAACAATTGCGTGGTTACCTATTTTGAACAATTGCATGGTTACATGAGGATTTAAAAAATTGTACAATTTGACATATCTAGTTAACTGAAATTATCATTAGGCATTTACAAAATATTGATGCTTTGTTGAAGAAACCAATCATTAGCATGGGAAAGAAATAAAAATAGAGGAAAAATTTCTCATATCAATAAATAATGAATATGGCTACTTATTAAAACACCATTACTTAGAGGAAAGATATATCAAAACATATTACTTTTCATCTAGACAAAGAGCAGCCGGTAAACTGCAGCACTGATACTCTGTTTTATATTATCTTTAACACTTAGCAAACTGCTTTTACATACATCGTCTCATATGGATCTTAATAGATTGGTAGGTCAGACATTATTCTGGGAGAAGAAGTTGGAAGAAAGTCCTTTTTTCTAACATGAATCTGGGGTTTAAGAAAAAACAGATATAGAAAAACTATCCTTATAACATGTATGTGCACTCCGGTGAACTAGGTCAGCCACATGGGGCAATTCAACATAGAAGCACATAAATCTAATAGGTCACTTTGGGGCTTCAAGTACAACTTGCTGGTTAGGTCTGAGGAAGGCTAAGGCACTCACAGATTGGAGGGAATTTGATGAATGACAAAGAAAAAGATTAAAGAGCTGGAGGACTTAATTTATGAGGGAATGACTAAAATGTGTCTTGCTCGCTTAGATACTAACGAAAGCTGGGGAAAGGGATGAACATACTGCATTTACATTTCCAATACTCCTTTTAGGCTCAGGATCTCTTTGGATGTTGCATAAAGGCTTCTCTAAAACAAAAACAGATCACACAGCTACACAACTGAACCCCTTTTCATTTGTGCCTACTAAGGAACACATGAAAAGCAGTGACATACATAAGAAATTACTATTAGCTTTGTATGTTCAGTAATTATCTTACAAGTCTTCAACCCAAAATATCACAAAAGTGGTACTGGTAGCTGACCATGATGTAACAGAGGGACCTGAGTCAGGAAAAATAGAAATAGATTAAGGCTACCTTTTATCATTTAAAATAAACATAGCTTTATAGAGCTGTGGGGAAAAGGTATATATTTAGAACATTACGTCCTTTTTCATTATTTTTTAAAGATTTTATTTATTTATTCTTAGAGAGAGGGGAAGGGAGGGAGGAAGAGAGAAAGAGAAACATCAGTGTGTGGTTGCCTGTCATATGCCCCCAACTGGGGACCCTGTCCACAACCCAGGCATGTGCCCTGACTGGAAATCAAACTGGCAACCCTTTGGTTCCCAGGCTAGCACTCAGTCCACTAAACCAGAGCAGCCAGGGCTACTTTTTCATTATTTAATATTAAGTATTATTAAATATAAGAACATATTTACAAAATTAGGTGGGTTTTTAGTCATTGAAATGGCAATATATGAATTTGTAAAAAATAGAAACGTAGAAGAAACTTTCTGGTCTTGGATCCCCTATACACACATAGCAATTTAGAGGTATAACTACTTCATTTTATCCAGCAAAGACATCTTCTTAAGGTAGGTATTATTACTATTACTGCTTTGCACATTGAGAAATAAGGTTCAAGAAAGAACTTGGTCATGAAACAAATAAAATTCCATTTGATACAAAATCTTCTTACCATCTATTGTGTGTCAGACATATTCTTTTTACTAAAATTATAAAGATTAATAAGTTTTTCTTCTCACCGTAATGTTAAAATGAATAACTTTCTAAAGTGAAAACTATTCCCAATGTATAATATTAGGATGCTCCTTGTTCCCTTTTCTCTCCAACTCTGGCCAGGTGTAACACATATTTCTATCTGGGATTCAGGCCCAAGAACCCATGTCTGAGCTGATTATAGGACACAGCATAAGGGAGTGGAATTGGGTAGGATTTTAAAAATAGCATTATAATAGAAGGGGTCTTACAAGTTTTTGTATATCATGGTGGCCACAAAATTGAGTCTGGGAAAGTCAGCTAAGGCCTTAAGGTGCTGGTTGGTAGCAGGACTCAGCCAGACAACAGTCCAGGGAGTTTGGCAGCAGTTTGGCACTAGTGAGATGACGGTGGTGGTTGGGGGGTCAGATTTATGATTTATCCAGAGGACATGAGTTCCTCAGCTTAAGAAGCAGGCCAAGGAATCTTCACAGAAAGTTTTGAAACTGAGAGCACAAACTTAATAGGCATTTGGGGAAAAAATTCCCAGGTCATTTGACAAAAGCTTGGTGAACATAAATTAAACTGGTTTCTTCACAGGTGTTCTCTATGTGCCCTGAATTTTTTTTAACACAATGCATATTAATGTGTAAAATACAGGAAAATGCTAGTTTATGAGTACCATCAATAAGAACAGACCTTGATACTGAGCCAAATAACCTCCAAGAAAAGAGTTCTTCATCCCCATCCTGCCTGGAGATAGAACTGGCCTTAGAGTAGTTGTGGTTGGGATTGGGCCTACGGTTGCAGGTAAAATTGTCAGAGGGGTAGGAATAAATCTCTGGCTGGCTCTGGGAGGCAGACAGACTGGTTTAGATCAGAACTATGCTACCTTCTATATGTTCAATTTAATTTTTATTTTTTTATTTTTGGAGAGAGGGGAATGGAGGGAGAGAAAGAAGAAGAGAAATATCTATGTGAGATGCATTGACTGGTTACCTGTCGTACATGCCACAACTGGGGACTGAACCCTCAACCTAGGCATGTGCCCTGGCCTGGGATTGAACTGGCTACCTTTTGCTTTGCAGCACAATGCCCAACCAACTGAGCCACACTGATCAGAGCTACTCTCCCTTCTGATGCCCAGACACTTACATAGGCCTTCCTGACCTCCCAACATTTGTTCTTGTGCTTGCAATGTCATAGCCCAAGTCTCTGCTCCCTGCCTTAGCTGACCTAACTGCCTCCTGTTTCCTACTTTAGCAGACTTCACCAGACTGGACTTGTGAAGTATCTCTCTAAACATATATAAAAAGTGCTCCAGAAAAACATAAACCCACAGGTCAGTGCCCGGCAGTCATTGTTCTATCATTAAATACTGTACTTCTCTAGTTCCATAAAATATGCTCATACACAAAAAGTCATATAATAAGAATTGATTTTTAGATATTTGAAACAGTTTAGAGCTATTCCACTTAAAAAACTGTGTAGATATCTATGTACCACATAAAAGAAAAGCCCATTATAAGAGATATTTTGGGACTTCTGGCCAAAATGAAGGCCTAGATAGACACACTGTGCCTCCTTGCACAACCAAAATAAGGAAAAAACCAACAATTTAGCAACAAAATAACAACCATAACTGACAGAAAATTGAGCTGTATGGCAGTCCGACAACCAAGGAGTTAAAATAGACACATTCATCCAGACTGGTAGGAGGGGCACAGTCGGGAAGCTGGGCAGAGAGGAGTCACGGCAAAAAAGTGGTGGCACCAGGCACACAAGGCAGCAGCTGACAAAACCCAGGTACACAAGATGGCACCAGGCAGGCACTGGGTGCGCAGGAGGCAGCTGGCAGACCTCAGGCCCAGGTGGCAACCCAGTGACGTGGCAATTGTGGAGCAGGGCACAGCGCACAAGGCAGCTGGCTCATTGGGTGGTCCCACATTTGTGTGCAGATAAACCAGGCGAAACTGGGGAGTGAAACAGACCACACGATCCAGGGTCCCAGCATGGGGAAATGAAGCCTCAAAACACTGATAGAAAATACCTGTGTGGGTTGAGGTGCTGAGAGAGACTCCCAGCCTCACAGGAGAGTTTACTGGAGAGACTGATAGGGTTCTAGAACAAACACAAGCCCACCCACATGGGAATCAGCACCAGAAAGGCCTCATTTGCTTGGGGAAAGCAGGGGAAGGGAGTGAAATCCAACAGAGAGCAGAGAATGTGCCACTGTTCCCTCTTGGACCCCTTCCCCACATACAGCATCACAACCCAGCGACTGGGTTGCCCTGCCCTGGTGAACACCTAAGGCTCTGCCCCTCACTACATAACCACGTGACAAGACAAAAAAAAAAAAGGCCCAAAAGAAAGAACAGATCAAAGCTCCAGAACAAATACAACTAAGCAACAAAGAGATAGCCAGCCTATCAGATGCACAGTTCAAAGCACTGGTGATTAGAATGCTCACAGAATTGGTTGAATTTGGTCACAAATTAGATGAAAAAATGAATACTACGCTAAGTGAAATGAAGGAAAATGCACAGGGAACCAATAGTGATGGGAAGGAAACTGGGACTCAAATCAATGGAGTGGACAAGAAGGAAGAAAGAAACAACCAAACAGAAAAGAATGAAGAAACAAGAATTCAAAAAATGAGGAGAGGATTAGGAACTTCCAGGACATCTTTAAACGTTCTAACATTCAAATTATAGGGGTACCAGAAGGGGAAGAGGAACAGAAACAAGTGGAAAACTTATCTGAACAAATAACAAAGGAGAACATCCCTAATCTGGCAAAGGAAATAGACTTTCAGAAAATCCAGGAAGCTCAGAGAGTCCCAAAGAAGTTGGACCCAAGAAGGAACACACCAAGGCACATCATAATTATATTAGCCAAGATTAAAATGAAGGAGAAAATCCTAGAAGCAGCAAGAGAAAAGGAGACAGTTACCTACAAAGGAGTGCCCATAAGACCATCAGCGGATTTCTCAAAAGAAATCTTGCAGGCAAGAAGAGGCTGGAAAGAAGCATTCCAAGTCATGAGAGGCAAGGACCTACATCCAAGATTGCTCTATCCAGCAAAGCTTTCATTTAGAATGGAAGGGCAGATAAAGTGCTTCTCAGATAAAGTCAAGTTCAAGGAGTTCATCATCACCAAGCCCTTATTATATGAAATGTTAAAGGGACTTACCTAAGAAAAAGAAGATAAACATGTATAGTAAAATAACAGGCAACTTGCAATTATTAACAACCACACCTAAAACAAAAACAAACTGAGCAAATAACTAGAACAGGAACAGAACCACAGAAAGGAGATCACATGGAGGGTTAGCAATAGGGGAGTTGGAGGAGAGAGGGGGAAAAGTACAGAGAATAAGTAGCATAGAATGTAGGTAGAAAACAGACAGGGGGAAGGCAAGAATAATATGGGAAATGTAGAAGCTAAAGAACTTATGACACATGGACATGAACTAAAGAGGGGGGGATGTGGGTGGGAGAGGGTGTGCAGTGTGGAGGGGAATGAAGGGGGGAAATGGGACAACTGTAATAGCATAATCAATAAAATATATTTTGCCCTGGCTGGTGTAGCTCAGTGGATTGAGCACGGGCCTGTGAAGCAAAGGGTTGCTGGTTTGATTCCCAGTCAGGGCATATGCCTGGGTTTTAGGCCAGGTCCCCAGTATGGGACACATGAGAGGCAACCACACATTGATGTTTCTCTCCCACTCTTTCTCCTTCCCCTCTCTCTAAAAATAAATAAATAAAATATTAAAAAAATTTAAAATAAAATATACTTAAAAAATAAAAGGTATTTTGTTATATGTGAAAGTTAAAATGAAAAGCATTGTTATTTAGTGGAAGACCAAATTTGGAATCAAGACACTTGAGTATGAGCCCTAGTCCTGCTGCTGGACATCCTTCCCCCAACCTAGGTGACCCAAGACAAATCACCTAATCTTTTTAAACCTCTGTTTACTTATCTGTAAATTGGGATAATGATTACTGATTTCCCAAACCTCGCAGGTCCACATGAATCTCAGATGAAATAATGTATGTCAAAGTACTGTGTTTACTAAAGTGCCACACGAAGGTAAGCATGCCTTTGACAAACACTGTGCCCTAAATGTCTACTCCCAAAGAGATGTCTACTTGTAAGAACCACTGTCCACCACTGCTGTTAGCTGACTGAGCCTGGCTCATAAGTCTTTGAACATCAGTGGGCTTTCTCATCTGTTCTGAGGAGTGACTGACCCTTGGTCTCTATTACATTCTCTGGCTCCAAACTTGGCTGACCCTCTTCTCCAACATGTAGTCACCAGACTGATTACTGCCTGAGGCAATTCTCACAACTAGGGTGGGAAAATATCATAATCTCTTTTCAGCCAAAGAATTCTTATATGCATGGCTGCTTGTGGAGCATGAACTCTTCCTGGGAATAAAATGGAGTAAATCTCACTCTCAACACATGATTCTCCCCACAGTGCTTTCACTGACTCTACATTCATGTTTTGAATGGTATTTGGACAACGCACAACATGAAATAAAACAGTATCACTTCTTTTGATCAAAAAGTGTCTGCTGCTTGTCCAGAAGAGGGCTTTTCTAATGCTTTGCTTTCTTAGATTCTGTCTTAAGAGAGGTGGAGGTTTTAATGTGATCAACTTCAGAAACTGGTAAAAGGTTAAAGTGCTGTCATATAAATATTCTCTTATACCTTAGATTTCATCTTATACTTAAGGAAAATGAAGTATGGGAAATGACTGAATCATGATACCAAAACAGACCCCTAAACTTGCTCCCTTTCCCCCAGATTGCCACTCTGTGACTGACAGGTGTTATACACTTGTCAGAGAAAGGGGTCAGTCTATACATAAGCAAGAAAAGAAAGTGTTTTATGCTTGTTTCCAGAGATCCTTTGGGGCATGTTGGGAACAGCACTGAAAGGCTGAAATAATGTCAAATCATGTTTTTTCTTGGTCAAACAATGTTGTAGGATATTGAAAAATGGTATTTAATTTATAGAAAAAGAAGTTTTCTTCATATAAGACTGTGCTTGGAAGGATAGATTAAGAACTATTTATCTCTAATACTTCCACCAGACACACAGGGATAGAAAAATGAGTTTATCTGGACATAAAAATATTTGCAAATAAACTTTTGTTTTCACCAAGAAAAAACCAAATGGAATCTTTCAAATGGGAAACACAGTAATTGTTGAAAGCAAAAGGTCACACTAGATTAGTTTTATTGAAAGAAAAGTAGAGATAAAATCTTTTTCTCCCTCTATAAAACTAATTAAAAAGCAGATGAGAGAATTTTGCTGCAGTAAACATGTTGTTCATTGAATCAGGTTTCCATTTAATTTCATGCTGGGTTTGCTTAATTATTGTACAAAACACAATTGCAAGATTAGTAACTTGTATAAGTGTGAACATGTGTATGGGTTTGGCTGGAGATAAAATCTTGTTGAAAAAGAAGAAAAATGTCAGTAGAAATGTGTTATTACTTGGATGAACATGATCTACGATAATTCATATTACATCTAAACAAGAATGATCCTCTTCTATTACTTTGTATTTGTTCATATTTGCATTCAGACTATCTTTTAGGTAAAAAATTCTAATTGTCTAGAAATAACATGTTTAAGTATAAATATTTTGGTATTTCTAGTTAAAGGCTATAAATAATCATAGTCTTGATAAATTTTGCCTGTTTTATTACTATTTGAAGTAAAAAAAATGACTGAAGCAACATAAGAGAACTGTATTCTAGTCACTATTTCATCACTTGTCAAACCACTTAACCCCTCTGGGCTTTAGTATTCTTTGTTTGCAACAGGCTGGGTTAGAAAAGATGATCTGTTGTTCTCCAATTAAATTATAGTTAGAGGCTAATATATTCCTAACAGAGAAGAAATCCAGCTCCAATTATAAATCAGCTTAGAGATGACTACTCAGACATAAAATTCCAAGTATTTCAAGGAAGTACTGAACAGCAGTTGATGCATTTACTTTCGTGGCTCTTACCTTTTATCTTATAATGAGCTCATTTAGGTATCCAGGAAAATACATATATAACATCAGCAGGATAATGCATCACAGGCAGCCTTTTTAATGGATTTGTGTCCCACATTTGCTACTTTTTAATATATACACAAAGAAATAGTTGTTAAATGCTTCCTTAAAAAAGCAGTCTATGATTATACACTTACCTTTTAATCTTATGCCAAAAAAATATTTTTCAGAGCTTAGATATTTGCTGATGTAGTACAAGATAAAGACCAACCAAGTACAACAATTCTATTCACATTGCTATGTAGTCAATTAAGTGCTAGTTGATGTTTTAAGAGGGCATTCTAAGAATTTCTTACCTTAATTTCCAGTACATTTTCATTGCCTATTGAGACCATCACTGGCTTTTCAAAAGGCTTAAACACAGGATTATGTACATAAATGAGATCGAAGTATTTGGAATGGATCCCATCTAACAGGAAAAAGGCTTTAGTTTTCAGGGGGAGTTGTAGATTCAGCTGCTGTAGTGAAGGAGTTGTACAGCAGATTATCTCTGAGTTAGAGCGATGTTGACATGCCTATAGTAAGACACAATCACCCACTGTAAACAGAATATGACTTGAGAACATCAACTGCAACTTTCACGTTTCACACAATCAATTAAAATATCTAATTTTTGAAAAAAATTGGCATCTAACTTTCTAATATTTAAGAACACATTTCTGGAAATATGATAGATGCAAAATTATCTAAACAATGCAATCTTCAGAGCTTCACTTCCTTAGAATAAGCTATGTTGATCTACCTGAAAATGGTTCACCCTCCACCACTTTTATTTTTCATGAGAAGACAGGACAGTCTCCTGGAAGGACTACTTTCTCATTTATGGAACATAAACTTTGTGCAATTAGAAGTCCTTATTTCAGGAACTACTATAAAGGACACATGGAAAAAACCAAGGAGGAGGGTGGAAGCAAGGGAGGGGGGTGGGTTTGGCTGGGGTGGGGGGGAGGAGTGGGGAGAAAATATGGACAACTGTAATTGAACCACAATAAAGTAATTTATGGAAAAAAAGAGAAGTCCTTATTTACATCTGAGCTTTAAATCAAGCTGTGAGAATCACAGCCAAACCTTTATTTGGAAACTCAGTTTCCTCATTTAGGAAGTAAAATTAAAATGTCATTACAGTGTGTGATACTATATGGTAAAATGCTTTGCCAACTGCCAAGCACCATACAGTCTGTATTATAATTTACTATGTTGTTAGGTAATTTTTCTAGTGTTCTAAGATTACCAATTACTGAATGCCAGGTTCTATACAAAATACTTTCAAGGTTTTTCTCTCGATAATCCTATGAGATAGGTGCTAGGATTACTCAAATTTTACAGACAAAGAAACTGAACTTTCAGAGCTAACATCATCAGACCAGTAAGGAACGTAAATCCAAAACTGACACTGCCTTAACTTTCATGCTATATGTACTGGTTCTTCCTCACTGTATAGTCTATGTTGGTAAATCTTTTCCTACGCTATTTTACAAAGACTTTGCTATTATTATGTCATGCCCCATCATCTCTCATTTCAAACACTCCTCTTTGGAATTTTTATTTATGGAAGTTTGGAAAATGTGGTTTCTTCTTGATTGTGCTTAGGCTAAACCAGCAGCACAAAGTGGCACACTTAAGGTAAAATGGTTGCATTTTTACCCTGAGGAAAAGACAAACATGCAACAACACCTCTTAGATTTACTTTACTTTGATGAGCAGAATTAAAGATAAAACAATTACTTACATCTGCAACAGAAAAAGGGCTCAGGATATACATAAGAAGCACAAATAAAATTGGGTATTTGAGCCTTGGCTACTGTGGCTCAGTGGATTGAGTGCTGGTCTGAAAACCAAAGGGTTGCTGGTTTGATTCCCAGTCTAGGGTATATGCTCGGGTTGTAGGCCAGGTCCCCTTTGGGGGGTGTGTCTGAGGTAACCACATACTGATGTTTCTCTTCCTCTCTTTATCCCTCCCTTCTGCTCTCTAAATATAAATAAATAAAATCTTTTTTTTTAAATATAAATAAAATCTTTTAAAAAATGGGGTATTTTACATTTTCTTCTAAGAATAATGAAAGAAATTATCCTACATTTAAAGTATATGCTGTAAGCAGATAGAGAAAAGAGATAGATATATAAATACAACATACATAAATTATTTAATATTATATCAAATTTATATTTTATGATTCTGAAAGCAATCTATTCCTATCATCCTGAAAAATGGAAATGAACAATTTTACTGCTATCACAATAATTCTCTATATAATAACAAGAATTCTGGAAACTACAACAAGCTGCTGGCTTTTGAGATATAATGTACATTAACAGATTAATACACATTTTGTTGAGGTGATTAGTATTTTAATTTTAATTTCTTTTTCTTTTTTATTGAATTTATTGGGGTGACATTGGTTAATAAAATTATATAGGTTTCAGGCATATAATTCTATAATACAACATCTGTATGCTGTAGTGTGTGATCACCATGTCAAGTCGCGTAGTATTTTTATTTTTAAAGATTAGAGTTTATTGGACTTAAAGTTATTGTAGCTGGATCAATATACTTAAATCAGACCTGACCAGGAGATTTTATTAGTTAAATAAGGAATGGGCTCAATTAATCATGGTCAGCTTCAAATGCTACAAGCAGCAGGAAACATGGAAGGAATATGTCTCTTTATGAAGTAGTTTTTACAAACAACAAACAGATTCACTGAACTTTATATTCTTGTCTAATTCTAATGCATAGTTCTATTGCACTAGTATTACATTTGTGGCTGAAATAACAGAAGTTTATATTTCCAGATTATGTAAATACATAGAATTTTTATCTTCTACTATTGTTTGAATCTTCCTTGGGATATGCTACTCTTATGTCACACAGGTTTTAAATAAATACTTGGTTATAAATAAATGAAGAAAGCTAAGAGGAGTTCTATCTGTTGTTAAATGCTTATGGGAGAAAAGGAAAAAAATTAGCCATATTTTAATAAGAGGCTTGATGTAAATTAGGTAAGCTAATGACTACTCAGATTTCTACTTTAAAAAGTTATATGACAACACCAAAGAAGGATACTGTTGTTCTCATTTGTATAATAATGGTGTACTTGGTTGTGGAGAATTGGTGTCCTTTAAATTAATAGCAGTGGTATTCTAACTTTGTTTGTGGCTGTGTGTGAGGATTGGTTTCAAAGAATTCTGCTTCATATGGTGACTCCCTGGAGTACAATCTCTCAGGAATATGATAAGAATCTAATAATACTCCTTAGAGGTGAGGCAATGTGACTGATTGAGAAGGTCAAGGAAATTTCATTTGGGGTGACCTTACTGTTTGGTCTCTTGGCTTGACATTTTTAGCCTGAAATTGGTTTTTGTAATTAAAGAATGCTGTGGCCTTAAGTCTTCAAGAAATATTAGGGGGGTAATCTAAAAGAAAGTGCTATAATTCAATCTATCACCTGCCCAATCAAGACCCTTCTTGAAAGGGAGCTCAAGAACTTTCATTTTAAGTGAGTGCACTAGCCCTACGAGATTATGGCATTTTATATCAGAGATAAACAACAAAAATATGAAATCTCTGTAAATAACTCCAACCTTCCTAAGATCTAAAGTAAAATTACCATTATTTAATGTGAACTACATAAATTGTTAGAGCACAAAATAGGTCAGTTTTTTTAAGGAGGCATGCAGTTAAATTTGACCTTAAAAATAAAAGGAAAGGTGGAGAAATACCAAAGAACATACATACACTAGTATATAAATATTCTAATGCTCTTTCTCATTACTTGATAATGTTCTAACAAAGGGACAAGAAGAATGGTAAGAAGTGAATGTAAAAAAACACTGTGTGCCTGCCACTTAGACATGGATGATGCTATGATACTGGAGACTTTACCCATGGCTTTTAACAGAGCAAAGGGGTTGATGTTCTATGGTGCATTGAAATAGGGATATTACAGGAATGCTATCAACTGAAAGTTTTTGTCACATCCCTCCAAGTTCATTTGTTGAAACCCTAATCCCCAGTGCAACAGCATTTGAAGAGCTTTGGGGAGGTAATTAAGTCATGAGGGTGTTGTTCTCATTAGGGCCCTTATAAGAAAAGATATAGAGAGTGTCCTTCCTCTTTCTCTCTACCCCTCATGTGAGGTTATGATGAGAAAATGGCCTTCTGCAAATGAGGAAGAGTGTCCTCACCAGACACCCAGATCTGCTGGCTCATCAATCTTAAACTTTCCAGCCTCCAGAACTATGAAATAAATGTTTGCTGTTGAAACCACCCACTCAATGGTATTTTTGTTTGAGCACCTTGAACTCACTGAGACAGGAAATGATGGGGTTTATATTTGTACTGACTGTCTTTACAAACACTGCCTCGAGTTGTTAATCGTCATTTGTGTCTAAACATTATGTGCACATGTATTATTTTTACAATGTTAGCCCAAGACTAGGTAATTTTAGTTGTTGAATAAAAGTACTACTTGACCTACATTGCAAGGGAGGTAGCTAGCAAACATTAAAGGCAAAATGAAATGTCCTATGAACCATGAAACCCAGTGGTAGAGGCAGGGACACAGAACTTTAATCACAGGTATCACTTGAAGGACTTACCACTGTAAAGTTCCTTCCTGCTTCATGCACATTTATTATCATCCTTAGGACACTAACTGAATTCAGGTTTTTTCCAACGCCTGTTATTGTGCTCCCACCACTGGCAAAATAGAATAGAAAAATAGCAATATTGAGAGGTTCTTTCCCTACTAAATATTTTAAGAAAGAAATTCAATTAAATCACATCCAGTGATTGCGAGTTGCAGTCACAGCCAAAATCAAATGAAACTTCAGTGGTAACGGTTCTTTGGAAACAAATTTAACTTGAAAGTATGTTAAAAATTTACATTTCATAAAATGAAGAAATGCATTTGTTTGTTTATTCACCAACTATGCAAGAGAATTTTATTCCTCTGAAAAAAAATACAAGAAGAATGAACTTAACTATTGTTGCTAGAATGATAGAATTAATGGAACAAGGCAGACTGAACTGGGTCCACTGAGAAATTGATTCAAAGGGATGCTAGTATAGGAAAAAGCTGAGTGTAAATCAGGCAGGGGAAAATACACTTAAGAATGGGGGGAACAGGGTGATCTCACTTGGGGGCATTAAGGTTATGATAGAATCGACATGGATATCATGTAAGTGCATAAGTACTATGATGCCACATTAAGCCGTTTTTACTGAAATCCATTCAAAATCTAATAGACTAGGATAAAATGTTTCTTGGCATGAATTAGCATTAATAAAGTCAAACTGCTTTCCGAACAAGAATATAGTTTTTACTTCTAAGTTAGAAAGGCAGCTTTTAAAAGAAATGAAACTGCATCAAAGCTAAAGATAAAAACATAGTTTTTATCTTCTCTTGACTACTCAACAGTCAAATCGTCCTTATGTTCCTTATTTTCTTATACCTACCAGAAATTTTTACTTACCTAATAAAAGATTTGGTTGGATGAATTTCATAGACAATAGGGTCTTCCTGGTAACTGAAGCTGTCCATCTCTCGGTTGGCTAAGTCAATTTTCAACTTAATAGAAAACTCAGTTGGAGTGGTTTGGGCTGGGGTATAACATTCAAGAATACTATCTGAAACACTGTACCAAAGGAAAAAAACAAATAATGAGCAAATTGGACCTTCATTATTAAAGGTACACAGACTCATATTCTAAAATTATATACATAAATAAAAAAGTTATCACTCAATGGATCCTAAATAGGAATTTCTTGATGTGATCTAGAAAAATGCTCTTTCTAATATAGGCTGTTTACATATGACTAGATCCCAAATTTAGTCTTGTTTGAATGAGCTATCCTTGACTTCAAACATTTAGGATTTTACACAATTATTAAGGTATCCTTTTGGTATTTGATTCTCCCCCAAGTTTGTCACCTCCCCAAAGTGATTTAGTCTAACTGTAAATCCTTGATGAAAATGTTATTTTGGACTTCCGCCAAGATGGAGGCGTAGTGGAAACACTTTACCTTCTCGCACAACCAAGTTTAAAAACAAAAAAGTTTTAGCAACAAAAACACAGCCAAACCACAGAAAATTGAACTATATGGAAGTCTGACTGTTGTCAGACTGACAAACCCTTCAGCCAAACTGGTAAGAGGGGCAGAGCCAACAGCAGAGCAGGGTCAGACAGGAAAGACCCACCAGACCCACCGAAGCTCGAGACCCAGGTGCGCCAGCAGCCACGGGCAGATCCCAGGTGTGGAGTAGCAGGCAGACCCACTGAGGGCTGACCGAGGTCACACATTGGCGTGCAGATAAACCGTAAACCAGTGAAGGAAGAGCAGTGAGACGGACCACACAGGCCCCAGTAGCAGGAAGTGGCAGAGGGGACTGCTATTGTTCCTCTCTGACCCCGCCCTCACATACACCATCAAAACCCAGTGACCTGAGTGGCCCCACCCTGGTGAACACTTAAGGCTTGCTCCTCATACTTAACAGGCGCAAACAGACCAAGAACAGACCAAAAATGGCTCAAGAAGATCTCAAAACCCCAGAGCCCATAACTCTAAGTGATGAAGAAATAGCAAAACTTTCAGATGCACAGTTCAAAACACTGGTGATCAGGATGCTCAAAGAACTGGTTGATTTTAGTCACAAATTAGAGGAACAAATGAAGGCTAAACTAATTGAAATGAAGGGAAATGCACAAGAAACCAATAGTAACGGAAAGGAAACTGGGACTCAAATCAATGGAGTGGACCAGAAGGAAGAAAAAAATGACTGAACAGGATAATATGAAGAAACAAGAATTCAAAAAAATGAGGAGAGGCTTAGGAACCTCAAGGACATCTTTAAACGTTCCAACATCCAAATTATAGGGGTACCAGAAGGGGAAGAGGAACAGAAACAAGTGGAAAACTTATTTGAACAAATAATAAAGGAGAATTTCCCCAATCTGGCAAAGGCAATAGACTTCCAGGAAATCCAGGAAGCTCAGAGTGTCCCAAAGAAGTTGGACCCAAGAAGGAACACACCAAGGCACATCATAATTACATTAGTCAAGATTCAAATGAAGGAGAGAATCCTAGAAGCAGCAAGAGATAAGGGGACAGTCACCTACAAAGGAGTTCCCATCAGACTGTCAGCTGATTTCTCAAGACCTTACAGGCAAGAAGGGGCTGGAAAGAAGTATTCCAACTCATGAAATCCAAAGACCTACATCCAAGGTTGATCTACCCAGCAAAGCTTGCATTTAGAATGGAAGGACAGATAAAGTGCTTCTCAGATAAGATCAAATTCAAGGAGTTCATCATCACCAAGCCCTTATTATATGAAATGTTAAAGGGACTTATCTAAGAAAAAGACAAAAAAGATGAACAGTGAAAGGACAGCAAACTCACAGTTATTAAGAACCACACCTAAAACAAAAGCAAACTAAGAGGACAGCTAGATCAGGAGCAGAAACATAGAAATGAAGATCACATGGAGGGGTTAGAAACAAGGGAGTGGGAGAAGGAGAAGGGGGGAGAATGTACAGAGAATAAGTAGCATAGACGGTAGGTAGAAAATAGATGGGGGGGCAAGAATAGTAGGGGCCATACAGAATCTAAAGAACTTGAGACACATGGTCATAAACTAAAGGGGGGGAATGGTGGGAGATGGAGTATGCAGGGTGGAGGGGAATGAAGGGGGGAATAGAATAACTGTAATGGCATAATCAATAAAATATATTTAAAAAAAGAAAATGTTTATTTTAATTTATTGTCAATCATTAGAACCTCACAGCTCATAGCACAGCTAGGATACCAAGATTAGGAGAGAAGGTGAATGGAAAGAAAAAATTTAACAGTCGAATTAATAAACAATAAGGGAAGGGTACAAAAATGAGCAAAAGGGAGGAGATGGGTTTGGGAAGGAAGAAGTTTTATCAGCAGGACAGGAAAGGATAAATATCTTCATTTTTTTCTCACAAAAAAGAATAATATTTTCTTGATTTGTTAAATGTACACATTAATATTACATGACTGATGCAACTAAAAATAAATTTACAGCACCTTTTTAAAGCACAGGTTTTTCCACCAATTGAAATGTGTCTTGAGTTCCCAGTATTTAGGTACTTTCCAGTTAAAGTAAGTAAAGTGCCACCAGTCTTAGGACCATAACTTGGAGAAATACTTGTTATTATAGGATCCTGATGAGAGGTAAAAACAAAAAAGCAAAGTATCTTGTTAATTTTATAACTCTAAGTAGATTAAACAACAATTAAATATCCTACTTCATAAATATCCAGTAAATAATGTTTAGACTTACCACATAAGAAAATGTACTATATCGTGCTGTCCCTCGATCACTGGAAATAATTATGGAAATATTGAAATGCTCATTCACTGCAGGAGCAACTGTGCATTTTAACCTAAAAAAAATACAAAGTTAAATGTATTGCAAGTCCAAAGGAGGCATTTTCTGGTTTGGCTGACTACTCAAGTTAGAAAGCAGAGTTTTGTGTAAAGCATTATGGTTGAAAGGTGTATAATTCTATTTCTATGCTATTATGCTCACTTTATATTGATTGTATTATATTATTTATACAGACAAAACAGGAAATGTTAAACCTCATCAATTTAGACTTCATTGATATGAAAAGTGAAAAGTTTTCACCAAGTGAAAAGTTCATAATACTCTAAGTCTAATCCTATAAAACTGTAGGTATAATATTTGGCATACTTAACAAACAGTATTTCAACAGCATATAAAACAATGGCTAATTATAAATAAACCAAATATCTTCACTAAATAAAGTATGTCAACAGGTACAGTTCTGTGATTACATTTGTTATGTGTTTATTTAAATTATTTAAAAATAATAAAATTGTGATAGGTTTTCCATAGGATTATTTTAAAATAATCTTTTAGTCCTGAAAAAGTATAAATATAATTTATTTTATTAAATATCTTTTTAAAGAAGATAATGAATTGTTTCACTTTTATAGGCTCTAATTTATAATGGAATGACTAAGAAAGGAATTCTATTAGGTATAAAATAAGCATTTGATAGACTAGGTTCAACCATAAAACTTTAAACATTTGTGTGTTGTTACTATATGGTATTTAAAGGTTTTTGGATTCTCATTCATTACAGGATCCAAATAGAAGGTATGTATAGAATGTAGCAGAACAAGCACAGGTATTGGATCAGGAAAACTGAGCTTGAAGGCCTGTTCAATGTTTACTGTCTGGATTACTTCTGCTAAACTACACTCCATCTCTCTGAATTTCAGGAACCTCCTTGGAAAATAGAAATGGTACTGCTATTTCCCAGGATATGGGAATGGTTAAATGAGGTACACTCCTTACATTACAATGTCAATAAATATCAGCTGAATCTAAATTTAAACTCATCAAAAAATGAGTCTCAACAATGTGATTCAGCTACTGTACATTTCTGAGGTATAGAAAGTGAATTTAAAAGGAAGAGTACATATCGAGTTATTTACTGATTTTTATAGAAAGAGCTACTGGGTACTCTATTTGAAGACATTAAAAACAGAGTTACTCCAACCATTGCTTTAAAATCTACCCAACATCTGAAAAGTTGTTAGAAAAGTGACTCAAAACTAGCAGATGCTGGATTTTTTCTCTCCTTTTCACCCAGGTAATGTCACCTTTCTCCCTCCTTAACCAGGACAGTCAATAAGATTAACAAAATAAGACAAAGCTAATCCACAAGGAATGAGATAGGCCAAGACTCTTTAAGGATAAACTTTTAGTGCAATTTTCATAAACATTCATTCAAAAACAAAACCTGTTTTCCAGCCACACCCCAGCAAAGCATTTTAAGATCCTTACATATTTGTTGTACTCTCACTTAAGGTCAAGGTGCAGCTCTCATTTCCAAGAAGAATTCTGGTTTTCTTTAAATCGAATTTACTATTCCTCCTGAATCCGAAGTCCCAGCCACATATGGTCAATGTTGTCCCTCCTTCCAGAGGGGCACTAGTTGGGAAAACCTATGAGGACAATACAGAACTTTAAAAACCCAATATATGATCTTTCATACTTGTGGAAAACAAAATATGTATGCTAAAATAGTCTGAAATTATTTCACTGTCCCACTACCTAAAAATTTAATTTTCACTGAAGAAATAATGGTCACAAATTTCAGAGTATCTGGAACAAACATTAAAACTATCTGACATGCTGATGAAACAAATTGTTTTCAGGAGATCCAGAGATGAGACAGAGAACAGATTCAGCCGGGGTGAGAATGAAGGGCCTCCCTGGCTACTCTGAAATGAATTTATCTTCTAGGAAACTTCTGGGCTAGAGAAGACATGCTTTGGACCCAGACTCTTATGCTTGTAAGTACGCATGAAGGATTGTAATTCCTTCATGAGCCTCTAAATGAAACTCTGCTCAAACTAATTTATCGGCCTTAGAAGCCAACCTCCAACATACACCTTGCTGGGTGTGGTACACTCCTGTTGCTGTGATATTCCCAACCCAGAGAAGAAAGCACGAAAGAAGCACAAATACTTCTTTTCTTTTTATATCCAGTGTTTTCAGTTGCATTCAGCAGCTTTCATAATATCAAACACATACATAGATAGTATTCAATATATATCTGCCATTTATTTATAAATCATCTATCCATGTACCAGGCAACAACATTTGAATTAAGTTAATTATGCTCTTTTATTTGTTCCTTCAAATTTATTATTTATTTGTGATTTTTCTCTAAATATGGTCATTATTTGATACATAGCAGTTGGTTACTGACACATTCAGCCTTTAAAAATGATGTAATATTTAATACGTTCAATATATTATTTGTGAATAAGGCCAAGATGGAGGTGTAGGTGGAACCACCTTGCCTCTGTGCACAACCAAATCTAAGAACAACTATTTTTAACAATAATAAACACAACCAAGCCACACAGAAAATCGACAATACAGAGTCCAAAGACAACTAAATGCTCAGCTAAACCGGTAAGAGGAGCGAAGCCAGCAGCGGAGCAGGTTGGCAAGAAAAAATCCCCAAACGGGTGGTGCGCGAGCTGCTGAAGGCGCTGATCGTGGGCTAGCTACGGGAACACACAGGGAAGAGGCGCGGCGGGCTGTCTGCGGTTGATCAAGCATCTGCGTGGGGATAAACCAGTGAGGAGGGAAGCATGCGCGGGGCAGCAGGCTCGCACAATTCCGATCGGATAAACAGGCCTGGGGCGAGTGGTGTGACTGGACGGATTGGGCTGGCGGAGAGGACCGCCATTGCTCCCTCTCTGACCACGCCCCCACACGCAGCGTCACAAACCAGCGACCTGGGTCGCCCGGTCCTGGTAAACAATTAAGGCTTCGCTCCGCTTACTTAACAGCGCGAATAGACCAAAAATGGCTCTAGAACAACTCAGAGCCCCAGAACTGATTGATCTAAGTGATGAGGAAATAGCCAGTCTTTTAGATGCACAGTTCAAAACACTGGTTATCAGGATCCTTACAGAACTGGTTGATTTTAGTCACAAATTAGAGAAACATATGGAAGCTAAACTAATTGAAATGAATGGTAATACAAAGGAAACCAATAGTAATGGAAAGGAGATTGGGACTCAAATCAATGGAGTGGACCAGAAGGAAGAAAAAAAATGATCAAACAGAAAAGAATGAAGAAACAAGAATTCAAAAAAATGAGGAGAAGCTTAGGAACTTCCAGGACATCTTTAAACGTTCCAACATTCGAATAATAGGGGTATCAGAAGGGGAAGAGTCATGAGTGGAAACCTTATTTGAACAAATAATAAAAGAGAACTTCCCCATTCTGGCAGAGGAAATAGACTTCCAGGAAATCCAGGAAGCTCAGAGAGTCCCAAAGAAGTTGGATCCAAGAAGAAACACACCAAGGCACATCATCATTATATTAGCCAAGATTAAAATGAAGGAGAGAATCCTAGAAGCAGCAAGAGCTAAGGGGACAGTCACCTACAAAGGAGTCCCCATCAGACTGTCAGCTGATTTCTCAAAAGAGACCTTGCAGGCAAGAAGAGGCTCGAAAGAAGTATTCCAAGTCATGAAAACCAGAGACCTACAACCAAGATTGCTCTATCCAGCAAAGTTTTCATTTAGAATGGAAGGACAGATAAAGTGCTTCTCAGATAAGACCAAATTCAAGGAGTTCATCATCACCAAGCTTTTATTATATGAAATGTTAAAGGGACTTACCTAAGAAAAAGAAGATAAAAAAGATGAACAATGAAAGGACAGCAAACTCACAGTTAGTAACAACCACACCTAAAACAAAAGCAAACTAAGAGGACAGCTAGATCAGGAGTGGAACCATAGAAATGAAGATCACATGGAGGGTTAGCAACAGGGGAGTGGGAGGAGGAGAAGGGGGGAGAAGGTACAGAAAATAAGTAGCATAGACAGTAGATAGAAAATAGATAGGGGGGAGGGTAAGAATAGTAGGGGGAAATACAGAATCTAAAGAATTTGAGACATGTGTTCATGAACTAAAGGGGGAAATGGTGGGGGAGGGGTATGCAGGGTGGAGGGGAATGGAGGGGGGAATAGAACAAATGTAATGGCATAATCAATAAAAAAGTTAAAAATATTATTTGTATTAGAAAGAGATAAAAAACAGAACTGAAGATGGCCCCAAATGTGACTTCTATTGTAATGTTTCTAATGATCTCCCTTGGCATTATTTTATATCTCATTTCTTGGATTGTACCCCACCTGCCCACCCTGTGCAATGTTAAATAAATAACAGGTTCATTTCATTATTGCAAGTTTACTCTTGTTGTGTGAAAAGTAAAGTTTAAATTTATTAATAAAACGTTGGTAACTGTAATAAGATAGCACTGGGATCTTAGGAAGTCTGTAAGACAACAGTTCTTAGACTAAAACTATTAAAACAAAACAAATTTCCAAGTTAAAAATAAGCTTCTCCCTAGCAGCTTTGTGACAATTGAGAAAGGAAATGCTCTTTTTTTGGGGGGGGCACATTGTAAATTGTGCTGTAAAGTACAATGGTGGGAAAACAGCACCGCTGTAGAGCAACTCAAAAAGGCATTTGTTTAAGGCCAGTTAGTGAAAATCTAAAAGTGATTCTTATACAATGTAGAAGGGCTCTTAGCAAAATTCAAATTTGCTGATATTTCCATTCTTCCCAAGCAAATAATTGCAAATCAGTGCCTTAACTTTTCTTGTTTACCAAATCCCTTTAAAGTTTTAACCTAATGCTTTTACGGTAGCTGTTTTATCCATAAAATCCATTATACAAGTTATGCCTTTTGTGAAAACTTAACTTGTCCGTGTCTAGCTAAATGAGAACTGTTAGGAGAAAATTATCTGTTTATTATTTTGTTAGAAATCCAGTAGGAGAGAATAAGACACCTTAACCTCCTGGACTGTCTGAAGCTTGAGATATATAGCTTCTGTTCCCTCTCCTAATGAGGCTCCCCCAAGAAAACAGCTGCCTAAAGCTTAATCCCACAGCTGGATCCCCTGTCTCTAAGTAAAAACTGAAGTCTGTCACTCTACATACATCATGACTTTCTATATGAGGCAAAAGGATTGGGTGATGATTTGAGAAAAGACACCGAGAGGTATTCAACTGGTGCAATAGAAATGGGTATTATAAAAACTTGGCTAGACAATCAGGTTTTGAAAGACCAGCTCCTGCTTAGGTTTTCTCTCTAGACTGAAATGCTAGAGGTGGGCATCTGAGGATTTTCCCTAGCTTATGGGGTCATGTTCACGCTTCCAGGGGGAAAGGAAGGAAGCAGTATTGGACCACATACCCTTTGATAGAACCAACAATGGGCTGGCAAACTCTGAGTTAACCTGAAGGGCAGAGAGACTTTGTGGGAGGGAAATGAGTGTCCAGCATAAAGCCACAGAGGCTGGGTTTCCCACCTGTTTGGATGGTGAAGAAATAGCTACAAAAGGAGCTCTCGTCCTTTCACAGGTGAAAGTGATTTAAATGATCATGTTTTCAAAACCCATCAAGATAATACATGAGAAAGCCAGAAACAACAACAAAAAATCTTGGAAAATTAAAATTCATAATGTATCATAGTAATGTAAGCTATTAACAATAAAGGAAACCAGGTTAGGAGTATATAGGAAAACAACAGCAACAAACTTTGAAAGATTAAATTTGCCTCTTCAGTAGGAAAAAAGTCACAAATACACTGGTGACAGTGTACTGACTGTATGATCTGTCTCCCTATGAAATATCACTTCTTATCTGAGTATTTTTATTAGTTAATCAACTGCTTTATTGTCTCACTGGGACTGAATTCAATCCTACAAAATATGACAATTTTATCCTGATAAATTCAGAATACATGTGAAAGGGTTACCTTTTCTAAAGCATTTCTCATTGCTCTTTAAGTACAAGATCAGACAATATGAAACAAAATAATGAGCTAGCAATCCTGAAATATCTCATATATGGAACTGTAAAGAATTTCAGCTACTGAACATCATGTACCTTGAAAAGCAAGTTAACATACATTTATCAGAAAGTGGCATCCGATACATTAGCTGGGTTTTATGCCTACAGAGTTTAAGAGAGATAAGAAGAAGATGAATAATCTTATTTTTTTTTTTGCAGTAAGAATGCTGAATGTCACGCTGTAGTGCAGCATGAAATCTTCCTAACAACTATGAACCGAAAGGGATTTATGGACTCAGCTGCACCACTTTCCTTCCACCCACACAGCCCAAGCCTCGCTGACTCACGCATGACACAGAATTGCCAGTTAGAATATTGGAGTTAGGAAAGGTAAGAGAGGAAGAAGATTCAAACAGGAGAGTTTCTGGTTCTAGAAATTTCTAAAATATTTATTCTGTTTCTGCCATTTTAATGTACCTTCCATGACAAATAAAAAGGAGCACTTTGGTTAACATTAAATGTTTTATTTGTACAAGTTCTCAACCCGCTCTTTATTTGAAACAACAGCTTGGCTATTTTTAAAAAGAAATTGTGATTTAACTGTGTGTGCAGGTACACGTGTAAACACAAACACACACACACACACCATACTCCTCATATCCCTTTCATGAATAGCTGAGCTCAGCTTTCTAGTGTCTCAAATTTCCCAGACCGAGTGTTTACAAAAGTATAAAATTACATGTGGTTTTAAAAGTGTATTAAAGAACAACAAAAAGGGGTATATAGATTTAATTTCTTCTGTCTCCTAGTTTATTCCTTGGCTGATCAAGCTAAGTCTTAATAATTATGTCACATCCAACAGAAAATAATTTGGTTTAAAACCTAGTCATCCAGTGCAAATCTAGTCCCAAACCATAACTAAATGAAAACAGCCATGCACTTGGGGGCAGTTCCTGTTCTGACTTGTACACTTTGTTTACTTGGGCTTGAACCAGGCAACCAAGACCTTTAACTTGAATCTATCACAAGGGACCATTTACTAAAGTCCAACTGTTTAACATGCAGGCAGAGAAAACATACACTGGGTCCTCATCAGGGAAGTGTTTTCAAACAACATGTGTTTGGATCAAGTTATTTTAAAAAAAATGCCAGGAAGAGTTACAAAGTGCCAAATATATCTTATGTAAGTAAAGCAACAGAGAGAGACAGTGGCTACTATGTCATGGCTGAAGTGGATTGCTAGAAGCTATGTTCTCTAAAAGCAGAAGTGCTTTTGTCTTGAAACATATCTCCCCAATGTCTAGAAATATGCCTGCTCTGTAGCATGCACTCAAATATTTTTGGAATAAAATAAAATAAATCTATACTAGATTTTAGTACAGTCATCAACTACACCTTTATGGTTTTTCCAGTAACTTGGAGAGAAGGTGAACAGCCACCCATGGGTGTTGACCATCTACTTGCCCTCTGAAGTAATCTCTAGTCTCATCTATGATGAGACAAGGCCACCATCTCTGGAGTCACACAGGAAGAAACCTGTCCTGTTTGTCCCAGCATGGCTGTGATCTCCAGCTTGCTTCATTCAGTGTAGAGTTCTGGGTTAGACCATGAGCAGATCTTTGGGTATAGTATAGGCTCACATCGAGGCACATGGCAGATAAAGTAGGTGGTGAGGACTCAAGAGAATAGGGGAGTCAGGAGGGAAGAGGTCCCAGTGTGAGGAAATGGGGAGTTTATTCACACAGCATTGAGAGAGAGCCATTGTGTAAGGAGAAAATCTTGGTGAGTGTGAAGCAAGCACTTCAGATGCAGGATTCAGGGGACATGCCCAAATGCCACCCTAAAGAAAAAACGTGGAGGGAGATGGTGCTTTGGCTGATTTCTCATAGATAAATGAGTAAATTGAGTTTTGGATTTTTTTCATTGATGGGATTTATGTTTACCCCCTCAAAATATTGATAGCTGCCAGAGATTTCTACCTCATAGATTGTAGGATGACAGATATCTTGAGTCCATGCTCCACTGGGGCACTTCTCCAATCGCACACATTTGTCCTGGCACCAGCCACACTGTACAAAGGGAGGGGCAGAGAGGCACTGACTGCAGGACCGGAAGTGTTCACAGCCCAGGCCATTCAGCGGGATCTTGGTGATCTGTAAAGAAAAGTGATGGAAAGAGCTTCCAGGAAGTTTGTTTGTTAAATAAAAATTGAATACATCAAAGATACATGTAAATATAATTTTATAATCTACTATAGTTATCACATCTATGTGTGCAAATCATGTTATAATTATTAGGTGATAAAAGTAAAAAACAATCCAATTCCTTTCACCTCTCTACTGTAGGCATGTGTGTGATAGAAGTTACCATGAGTATCCAGCAAACATAAGCATTGTCATGCAATGCTGGAGGTTCTATTTAGTACAGATATTTCACTGTGTTCAAGACAACTTAAAAATAACAAGAGAGTACAATTTAAGCAGCTGGAAAACACACTTGAACCCCTGGGAAATCTAAGTAAGTTTGCATGTTATTCTGGCATCAAGATGCACCTTCTTCTCTCAGAGAAAAGGGGTGATTGGCTAGTGTCAGATTCCAATATGCATTTTTAGGATCAATCTGCCTGCACCAGAGTTCTTCCCTTAGGACTGTAATACTAATTCAGCATTTGTTTTTCTCATTGAGAAATACAGGACAAAAGGAAAGGTATGCATTATGAAAAGGACTTCTCTTAGGTCTTATTTTCCCTGAATAAAAATTTAACTTGATTTCAGAAGATCTCTGAAATACTCAAGAAAGAACTTGATAGAGGACAGGTGAATACAAGACAAAGAGAAGTGAAAAAGGAAACATGATACTGGCTACAAATACCCACTCAGGAAGAACTGTGTCCATGGCACATCCTTGGTGAGGGAACAGGGCTTACCTTCTTCCCAGTGACAACCAGTGTGTAGCCATTTTGGTTTAATGGGTGCTCCACAATTGCTTCTGGAGACACAGGTTGGGAATCCAGGCGAAAGTTCACATGAGGGGTTGATGATCCTGATCGAGAAACTACAACCTGAGAAATAAAACAGAAAACACCTTTGTTCCAACAAGCTCTGTTTAAACATAAGAGGAAAATGTGGATGATAATTTATAGACCTTTTGAGGTCAAAATAAGCTCTGAGCTACTTTGAAATGATGTGCCATCATTTTTATAAACCATTGTTCCACCATATACTATTATTTAGATTATAAACAAAGTATTGCTTCTCAGTCTGCTTTTATAATAAGGCCTGATGGGTTTTAACAATATGTTGGAAATGAGGTTTGATAACTGGTGTCATTCTTGTTTCCAGGTATTTAATTTGGGGTGCTACTTAGCTACATAATTTCCACTTGTGCTACTGTTATAACCCAGTAATAATGAGGTCCAGGGGTAAAACCAGGATGACTGTCTGAGATGAACACTCAGACTTTAGGAGAATTTACGACTGCTTAGAGAGACTTCTTAAATGCTGGAGGCTGAGCACAGGTCTGGGCTTGAAATTGACTGTGAAATTTCCTGACATCCCAAATACCCTTTTAGTTTGTACCAAAAGTATATTTATTATATTTGCCATGGGACTGAAATCACAGAACAAATATGTTCATTTGTGAGACTAGGATTGATTAAATCACCACCCCTTCTACCTCAACTTTCTCATCTTTAAAATAGGAATGAAAATTGTGGGAGTCAGATGCTGGGAAAATGACGACGGAGTAGGAAGAAGCAGATTCTAGCTCCTATACTCGTGGATGAAACTCCTGGCAGATCTATAGAGAAACAGCACAATAAACCATCAGTTACCCAGCATTTATGAAATTAAAAGACCAGAGATTGTGACTGACGCTGAAACACCAGACAGCAGCAGAGTCAGCTATGGGAGCTGGGACATTCTCAGCACCTGTGCCACTGCCATAGCAACAGGCCTGGGAGCCAGGGAGTCAGGTATAGGAGCCTGGACACTGGAGGTCCCTGTGCCACCACCATAGAGACGGACCTGGGTGCCAGAGGAGTCAGCTACGGGAGCCAGGACATTTTTGGCCCCTGTGCTGCTACTGTAGCAATGCACCTGGGCGCTGGAGGATCGGCTACTGGAGCCGGGACACTCAGCAGTGGTAGGTGACCAGTGCAGGGACCAGTGCCAGGACCAGCGTGAGAGTAGGTGGAGACGGAGAACATCAAGATACTTGAAGGAGTCTGCACCACTGAACTTCACAGGTATCATACCACAGAAGTTCACACCATAAACCCAGGGTGTCAGAACAGATCAATTTTAGAAGCGGAGACTAACAAGAAGAGTCTCAAACACTGGGGAGACAAAGAAACAATCCCCAAATGAAAGAAAAAGCAGAAATTTCAGAAAGAATGTTAAATGAAATAGAGGCTAATCAACTATCAGATAGTGAATTCAAAGCACTGGTTATTACGAAGTTCAAAGAGCTCACAATGAGCTATCAGAAACTACAGGAGAACTACAATGATCTCTCTGCAAACTACATCAACATGAAAAAGGAAATAGAAAATATCATCAAGGGACAAGAGGAAATGAAGAATACAATTTCCAAATTGAAGAACACAGTAGAAAGTTTCAAAAGTAGAATAGATGGGGTGGAGGATAGGATTAGCGAGTTGGAGGACAAAGTAGAAACATCTCACAGAAGGAGCAAGAAAATGAAAAGAGGATCAGAAAGAATAAAGAGGGATTAAGAGAAATGCAAGACAATATGAAACGTAATAATATCCGAATAATAGGAATACCAGAAAGAGAAGAAGAAGAACAAGGGATAGAAAACATATTTGAAAGAGTAATGAGAGAAAATTTCCCTAATTTGATGAGAGAAAAAGTCACACAAATCCAAGAATCACAGAGAGTCCCAATCAAGAGGAATCCAAGGAGGACCACTTCAAGACACATCATCATCAAAATGGCAAAATTCCAAGACAAAGAGAGAATCTTAAAGGCAGCAAGGGAGAAAAGGGAAGTAACATACAAGGGACCCCCAATAAGGTTAGCTACTGACTTCTCAATGGAAACACTCCAAGCAAGAAGAGAATGGCAAGAAATATTCCAAGTAATGAGAACCAGAGGCCTACAACCAAGGCTACTTTACCCAGCAAGGCTCTCAATCAAGATAGAAGGCCAAATAAAGAGCTTCCAAGACAAAAGAAGCCTAAAAGAATATGCCTCCACCAAACCAGCTCTACAAGAAATACTAAAAGGACTGCTTTAAGGGAAGGAAGGAAAAGAGGGAGACAGAGAGGAACACAGGTACAAAAATGGCAATGAATAAGTACCTATCAATAATAACCTTAAATGCAAGCGGGTTAAATGCTCCAATCAAAAGACACAGAATAGCTCAATGGATAAGAAAACATGACCCACACATATGCTGCCTACAAGAGACCCACCTCAGGACAAGAGACCATCACAGACTAAAAGTGAAAGGCTGGAAACAAGTTTTCCAAGCAAACAGACAAAAAAAAAAAAAGCTGGGGTAGCAATTCTCATATCAGACAAAATAGACTTCAAAAAAAGGGCCATAAAGAGAGACCCAGAAGGTCACTTCATTATACTCAAGGGAAGAATCCACCAACAAGACATTAACATTGTAAACATATATGCACCAAACATAGGGGCACCCAAATATATCAAGAAAATCCTAGAGGACTTCAAGAAAGATATTGACAGCAACACAATTATAGTAGGGGATTTTAACACCCCACTATCAAAAATAGACAGATCTTCCAAACAAAATATCAATAAAGATATTGCGGTATTAAACAACACCCTGGATGAAATGGACTTAACTAATATATGTAGAGCCCTTCATCGCAAAGAAGATAAATACACATTCTTTTCAAATGCACATGAAATATTTTCAAAGATAGACCACATGATAGGACACAAAACGAGCCTCAACAAATTCAAGAAAATTGAAATCATACCAGGCATCTTCTCTGATCACAAGGGACTGAAATTGGAAACCAACCCCAAAGGAAAAAACCCAAAGCACCCAAAATCATGGAGACTGAATGGTATGCTATTAAACAACAAAGGGGTCAAGAATGAAATTAGGGAAGAAATCAAAATGTTTCTGGAAACAAATGAAAATGATCTCACAACAACCCAAAACTTATGGGACACAGTGAAGGCAGTCCTGAGAGGGAAGTTTATAGCAATACAGGCCTACCTAAAGAAGATAGAAACATTTCAAACACACAACCTAACCCTACTCCTGCAAGAACTCGAGGAACAACAACACAGACAGTCCAGAGCAAGCAGAAGGAAGGAAATAACCAAGATTAGAGCAGAACTAAATGACATTGAGACTAAAAGCACAATTCTAAAGATTAATGAATCTAGGAGTTGGTTCTTTGAGAAGATAAACAAAATAGACAAATCTTTAAGTAGGCTCATCAAGAAAAGAAGAGAGAGGACACAAATAACCACAATCAGAAATGAAAGAGGAGAGCTTGCAACTGATACCACAGAAATAGAAGAGATTGTAAGAAATTACTATGAAGAACTGTATGCCAAGAAATTTGAAAACCTAGGGGAAATGGACACATTTCTAGAAAAATACAATCTTCCAAAACTCAATGAAAAAGAAGCAGAAAATCTAAACACACCAATAACAGCAAAAGAAATTGAAGCAGTAATCAAAAAACTCCCATCACACAAAAACCCTGGACCAGATGGTTTCACAGGAGAATTCTACAAAGCATTTAAGGAAGAGCTAACCCCTATTCTCCACAGACTATTCCAAAAAATCCAGAAGGATGGAAAACACCCAAATTCTTTTTATGAAGCCAGCATCATCCTAATCCCAAAACCAGGTAGAGACACAACAAAGAAAACTTCAGGCCAATATCGCTGATGAACATAGATGCTAAAATCCTCAACAAAATATTGGCAAATCGCATCCAACAATATATCAAAAAGATCATACACCATGACCAAGTGGATTCATCCCAGGGATGCAAGGACGGTTCAATATTCCCAAATGAGTAAATGTAATACATCACATAAACAAAAGCAAAGACAAAAACCACATGATCATATCAATAGATGCAGAAAAAGCTTTTGATAAGGTCCAACACCCATTTATGATAAAAACACTCAGCAAAGTGGGAATGGAGCATTCCTCAATATAATAAAGGCCATATATGAGAGACCTACAGCCAACATCATACTCAATGGGCAAAAACTAAAATCTTTCCCACTAAGATCAGGAACAAGACAAGGATGTCCACTCTCACCACTTCTATTCAATATAGTATTGGAAGTTTTAGCCACAGTGATCAGGCAAGAAAAGGAAATAAAAGGCATCCAAATAGGAAAGGAGGAAGCAAAACTGTCACTGTTTGCAGATGATATGATAGTGTACATGGAAAATCCTACAGAATCTACCAAAAAAGTGCTCAAACTAATTAATGAATTTGGCAAAACAGCAGTTACAAAGTCAATATCCAGAAATGGAAGGCATTTTTGTATACCAACAATGAATCAGCAGAAACAGAAATCAAGGAAAAAATCCCATTTGATATAGCAAAAAGAAGAAAAATAAAATATCTGGGAATAAACCTAACTAAGGAGGTAAAAAACCTGTATGCAGAAAACTACACAGCCCTGAAGAAAGAAATCAAGGAAGACACAAACAAATGGAAATATATACCTTGTTCATGGATTAGAAGAATTAACATCATCAAAATGTCCATAGTACCCAAAGCAATATACAGATTCAATGCAATTCCTATTAAAGTACCAATGGCATGTTTCACAGACATAGAACAAATACTTCAAAAATTTATATGGAACCATAAACAACCCCGAATAGCAGCTGCACTTTTGAGAAAGAAAAACAAAGTAGGAGGGATCACAATACCTGATATCAAACTATATTACAAAGCCACTGTAATCAAAATGGCCTGGTACTGGCATAAAAACAGGCACATAGACCAATGGAACAGAACAGAGAGCCCAGAAATAAACCCAACTCTCTACAGTCAATTAATATTCTACAAAGGGGGCA